ATCCCATCAGCCCCCAGGAACCATGAGGATAACGAATCAAGCTCAGCACCTGGTAGCCGCGGGGTAGAAGATATAATTGAACCAGCACGTCGATCTGACCAAATGTCCTGGATGTTGCTTGGGTGTGCTCTCTCCCTTGCACACGAGCTAGGGATATTCGAGACAGAAGGGACCAGCTCACCAGCCGATGAACCAGAATGGAGAGACCAGATGGCAATCCGTTGGCAGCGGGTACAACGTCTGCTATATGTCTACATCAATCAATTAGCTTGGCGGATCGGATGCATGTCACCGATTCCTCAATCATTAAACCATGCTATCCTGGGCGGACGGAAGCCGCAAGGACTGAGTCCACCGGGCAGCACGTGGCTGACGTTCATGGATTCATGGATTGAGCTTACCAAGCTAGCCAAGTCTGTCACTGATATGTTCTTCCCCTCTGCCGCGTTTGCACGCCAGCAACTGCACAGCGGCCGATATGTTGGTCTTCTAGAGCACTTCCGACCTCTTCTCAATCAATGGAAAGACAAGTACCTACAGCCCCAAATACTTGATAAAGCATTCTACAACGATCTATTCATCGAATACCACTTCGTCCGCGTCTACACCCATTCAGTGGGAATGCAAGCAGTAGTGGAGCGTGCTGTCGCAGAGAACAATCCCAACACCTTCGACGGAGTGCGACCTATGACCATCGACCCAACCGACTACGAATACATCCAAGAGGTGATCGAGGGATGTGGCCAGATCTTGCAGAAAGTCACCCATCTAGCCGAAGCAGGGGCGTTGCGGTTCTCGCCAGTTCGAATCGTTCTTCGCATAACTAGTGCCTCGATCTTTTTGATGAAAGCGCTCAGTCTGGGTACACGCCAAGCCAAGCTCCAGGAATCAATTGAAATACTAGAGAAAAGTATCAAAGCACTCAAGTCAAATGCTTTAGATGATGTGCATCTGAGCACGCGGTATGCCGCACTGCTAGACATGCATGTCTCGCGCTTGCGGCGCAATCTACTTGCGTCGTCGAAAGGGGCGAAAAGTAGCCAAGACACTACGCGAAGATCATCCATGGGACCCCCTCCTTGGCCGGGGGCGGACACTGGTGACCGGTCAAATTCCATGAGGTCCCCGGTAGTGCAGGACCCACCACCAGATCTGGGATACATCCCGTCATTGAACGATATTGGGGCAGATAACTGGCTTTCGCTGCCCTTTGATCCATCGATGGCGCCGTTTGATATGAGCCATGGATGTCAATTTCCGATGTATGAAGGTGGAACATTAGACTTTATTTGGAATCTGCCATCGTGATAGAGCCAACTCTACACATGGAATATTCAATTAGGTAGCTTTGTACATAGCCCTCGATGGTCGCAATTATGCAATGATGATAGCAAGATGATACCCTAATCCAGACAAGTTACTCCGCCTTATCTTTCCCCGCACCAAACAACAACCAACATCACAATCCTAACAAGCCCAATTACCTAGATACCAGGCAAAATGACAAAACCAGCATCATTCAAACCAACCCTGATCATCCACGGAGGCGCCGGCAACATCCAACGCTCCAAACTCCCTCCAGACCTCTACGCTACCCACCACGCCTCCCTCCAATCCTATCTCCGCTCAACGCACGCCCTCCTCAAAAATGGCAGCACAGCGCTAGACGCAGCCGTCCACGCCGTCTCCCTCCTCGAAGACGACCCCCTCTTCAACTGCGGCCGCGGCAGCGTCTTCACAACAGCCGGCACAATCGAAATGGAAGCTTCCGTAATGGTGACATCCGTTCACCCCGACGCAACACAGCCAGGCGCAATCAAGCGCGGCGCAGGCGTGATGGGCCTCCGTAATGTGCGTCACCCGATTCGTCTCGCGCGCGAGTCGCTTCTCAGATCGGGTGTCGCCGCTGATGGGTCTAGTGTAGATGACGGCGGGAGTATGCATTCCCAGCTCGTTGCTCCGTACGTTGAGACTCTTGCTCAGGATTGGGGATTAGAGTTTTGTTCCGATGAGTGGTTCTTCACGCAGAAGAGGTGGGACGAGCATATTAGGGGTTTGAGGGGGGAGGAGGAGCCTGTGTTTTTGACTCAGGGGACTGTGGGGTGTGTTTGTCTTGATCAATGGGGGAATCTGGCTGTTGCTACTAGTACCGGTGGTTTGACGAATAAGTTACCCGGGAGAATTGGTGATACGCCTACCCTGGGAGCTGGGTTCTGGGCTGAGGCTTGGGATGAGATTGAGTCAGGTGGTGGTGAGGCAGTGCCGGAAGATTCCTCGGTGGGTGGCTTGCTACGCGGCGCGAGGAATTGGTTGGGGGATTGTATGCCGTCGTTCGTGCGAGATCAGGCCATCCCTATTTACTCGTCCCTTTCGGGTGACGGTTTATCCCGGCAGCTTGACTTGGGATCCGAGAAAGCTTGTCATTCTTATCAACCTTCTGCTCAACACTCTCATCGGCGGGCCATCGCGGTCTCTGGGACAGGGAATGGAGACTCGTTCCTTCGGGTTGCGGCTGCTCGCACGGTTGCTGCAATGCTACGGTTTTCTTCGCCCGGTGTCTTCCCTTATGGCCTTGCAGACGCAGTGACGGCTGTTTCTGGGCCTGGTGGTGAACTTCAACGTTCGGCTGGCTCCAGATGGAAAAAGACTGGCGAGGGCGAAGGAGGTATTATCGGCATACAGGCAGAGCTTTCCCATGTGAACAGGGCATTGGATGTGAAACTACATCGGGGCAAGGTTGTATTTGACTTCAATTGTGGTGGTATGTGGCGTGCTTGGGTAGAGGATGATGCTGCTGGCAACGAAGTTGAGAGGATTATGGTCTTTCGAGGGCAATACCAATAGAATGGGAAGCATCTGTCACTTTGTTGCGCCCTAAAAGTTAATTAGAAAGGATTTCGGGGTTACTATTAGAGAATTATATAGCCTACTGTTACGTACTAGCTAGTTAACTGGTCATAGTTAGGTTAGGTAGGTTCAGGGTATACTTGCCTTAATACTCCTCGAATAGTCTAACGTCAATAATCGGATCGTAACTAAGCTATTGTCGCGTAGGGCCTTACTATAGCCTAAGTCCTATTAAGCGATTAAGGAACTAATACTAGGTAGAGCGCCGAGTAGATCTATAGCGGAGTATTAGTCTACTCGTAAGTATTATTGGGTTATAATTAAAGAGTTATAGTAATCTAAAAGGTAAATATAAGTAATAATATGTAATTAAAGATAAAGAACTAAATTAAGTATATAAGGGAGTATCCTTATGTTACGATATAACCAGACATGAGGCCATTCCCAGATTGGTGCCTCAGGCCTACGGGCGGTTTGACCTCTCCGGAGGGGAATCGCCCGTGTTTCCCTATCTTCTCGGGAAGGGTTCCCCGCAGGAACGGGACCCCGCTCCACGTGTCACATTTCCTCAATTAGACCATATGGAGGAAGTCTGACGGCTCCTCAAGAAACAGTCTTTGACTTTTGGAACCACCTATCTTGTTACCTTCTCCTACCTGATTGACAGGCACCTACCCTGACTTGTAGAGTATCTTTTAACAAGTAAGTAATAGGTTTGATAAATAATAGACTAGCGTATTACTAGAGCTAGCTAAGAAGAGTTATAGCTCTCCGGAGCCTTCGTAGTAGGATATTCTTCTTATAAAAGCCGGAAACTATATTAAAAAGGCAAAGAAGCCTCGGCGATATTTTTAATATTATAGTAATACTAAAACTTCTATTTATCGCCGGACGTAGAAATATAGCGAATATAAGTCGACTCTACGATACTTTCGAGAGAAGCACTTATAGGATCGAAGGTGCTATATATATAACGAAGGTCTACTATATAAGATATATCTTCGTAGGCGTATAGAAGAGGTTTATCGCCTTAGCACCAAACGGAATTACTACATTAAAGAAGATATAGGATCGGATATTGGTACCGATTAATTGGGAGGCTGGTAGGTGTTATGTCAAATTGAAGTACTCTATTTTGTCTATGCTTATGAGCATGTCTAGGTTCATAATATCAATAGGCTATTTAATGTTTCCCTTTTTACATTGAAGCGTTTCGATTGTGGGTGTTATACCTAGATATCTATCACCAAAGACCAATAGTTCGCATTCATCATCCTCCGATTTGAAACGGGCGCTAAAGTGATCAATGAAAGACTACTCCACCATTCAAGTTTAAAATTAAATCAACAAGACCTTGCTTACCCATGTGTTACCGCGCGCGTAAATTTGTTTCAGTTCATTGGTTTTCTACTTACATGGCGTCGAACCGAATGAAGCGGTCTTTCTGGATTTAGTAACTTATCTGCTTTCTTCAGTATGTACACACGAGACAATAATAAATAGCGAGCCTTGATGGCAGAAAATCTGAATCGGAAGGCTCGAAGGGTCGTGTCGCAGTTTCAAACCGCCAAACACCCGTGTCCAATCAGCTTTCCGGAGAACTACAAGTTACCGCCTAGCTTTACCGGCTCTTGGCTTACCCCTGCCATAAATACCAGGTCTTTCTTGCTTCTCCCTTCAACTATGTGTCTTGTATCGACGTCAAGCGTGTGCAAATATGCAAATGTCCGATGATATAGCTTGGAAATGCCTCAATATTTGTAAGCTTCGTAGTGTAACTCCGACACACCAAAATAAAAACATCAGTAGTTGTCCTTAATAAGCCTAATAAGATCATCCGCAACATGCCGTTCCTCCACTTCTTCGTCATCGTACCATCCTCCAAGCTCGCTGACATAATGATAAAGTGGATCATTCTGCATCCGCCATTGATATTGTCTTTCAGCTCTCGCTTTTCGAGTCAGTACACTAGCGAGTCCGTAGTTCCCGATAAGGCTTAAAGTTGTATTTACCTTCTTCACGTCTCTCACGCCTATCCTCTCTGTGTTCTTAGATCGTATGCCTTCCAACCCAATGCCTGATTGCTGCGGCTGGAATGTGATGCAATACTAGCCATTCCCTATTGTGCTAGGGGATTAGAGGGATTTCAACCCTCAGTACTTGCCGAGCTCTTTCCAGAGGGAAAGCAACAGTATTTCGAGAAGACTCGTATCAATTTCTGCCATCTGAACGTCGTTGCGGTGCAAGGCCAGAGCCCAATTTTCCGCCCTCTCTTCCTCGTCAAATACTGAGATGAACGGAGTGAGTCGGTTGCAGTTGTGCCAATTCAGGTGGTCCCTAATAGCTTCAATAATACTAGAAAGAGAATCCGGCGTATTCATAGATGCCGACCATAATCCCCGCTCATTCCGTGCCGTTCGACAGCCGTCATACTGAATACGATACAGCGTGGAGGGAAGGAATTGCAGGTCAACTCGTAGGTTCTGAACATTGGGACTCTTGGGGTCTCTCTGACCATTTTCAAAAAGTGATATCCGCGGTCCTAGTTAGTTAATGAATCATTGGTTGAGTCATCCCGAATACGAGAAGCTCAGAATGGGATCGGCACTACTACCACAGCTCGTTCGCTTATGGCTCACGCACGGATCAATATGCCAAGGACAAAAATATAATACATGCCTTGCTTCCAGCCCCTGCAAGCTTCAATTATTCTGATTATAATCGAGGCACCCTTTAATATTATCGCCATGGTAGCTGACTTTCAAAGCCTACCAAACGAGCTCATTCTACACCTCGGAGAGATGCTCCTTGACAGTGCACTGAACAGCTTGGTCCTCACAAACCGACGCTTCGCCGAGCTTCTCAATCCAATGCTGTGGAAATTGGTCAGCGATGAGGACGAAGGGTCAATGCAAGATCTGCCATTTCCACCTGAAACCAGTGTCAACAATGTGGTCGAACTCCTGGGATACGCAGTTGCAGCACGCAACTCTCTAATGATGCAGAAAGTTATTCGGCTCGGCGATTTCGACTTCGAAGCACACGGGGATGCGATAACATATGCCCTACGCGAAACGGTAGCGCAGGGGAATCAGCCCTGGCTAGAACTGATTCTGAGCAAGGTGGAAGGCCAAGACGATACGGTAGATGCGGAGGCTCTAAGCTCATTAGTACTCCAGGCTGTTGAACTGGAGAATACTGCCATGGTTGAACGGCTTCTGCGGCATGGTCAAATCCACTTTTCATGCTGGGATAAATGTTGTCAGAGTATACTAGGGGCTAAGAACGATCGGCTATTACGCATATTCCTGGATACCGCCCAAACTAATCGAGTCCTGGTAGCAAAGGATCTCGACAAGCCCTTCAGAACCGCCGTAATATCTGGACACATCCCTGTTTTGGAAACGCTGCGACAACAAGGAGCGGAAGTGAACCCCGAGCCAACTGGTCACAGCAGGTACAACCAAGCGCCTTTGCACATAGCGGTTTACAGAGGCGACCATAGCGTGATTACCTGGCTGTTAGACCACGGTGCCAATATCAACGCCCTGGACTCTTCCGGCCAGACTGCTGTTCATATTGCCGCTAGGGATGAAAAGCTTTTACGGCTGCTAGTGGGCTATGGGGCGGATGTGCGTCTTATAGGCAGGAACGGATACCCACCTTTGGCACGAGCAGCACGTTCAAAATCCCCGGACGCGTTCAATTATCTCCTCTCATTCTATGATAACCTCTCATTGCAACCAGAGAATATCGAATGGTATTCGTGCGCATTATTGGGGGCCGAGTGTCCCGAGATCATCTCCTGCCTATTAGATCGAGTCGATCTGACTAAATACGGGGAGGATCTCTTATTCCGCGCTAGACAATCCTGCAGCATCTTATTACTGAAAGCACTTGTGGCTGGGGGTGTCTCCCTGGGGGCACGCTTTTGGGGCGGAGGTACCATTCTCCATCACTACGCATATCGCCCGATCTGGGTTTGGCGTAGGGGTTTCGATGATCTAGAGAGAGAGCACGTTGCCGCTGCAAACTTTATCCTTGATGTGCATCCGGAAGGACTACACGAGGTGGACAAGGATGGAAATACTCCTCTTCACCTGGCTGCGGGCACCACCTTCCGTCTCATGGTGCAAACCCTGCTAGAACGCGGTGCATTCCCTTTAGCGTTGAACCTCCAGGGGGATACGCCTATCGATAGTGGACGGAATGCCATTCTAGAACGTCGTGAATATCTTACAGGGATGGGGCCAAGCGGTTTGGCACGGAACAACCCCGAAGAGGTGTACGACTTGTTGAAATCTTATGGGTCCCCTGAGCAAGAACGAAGGTTGATGAATGACATATAAAGAATTTTCTCACCTCTTATTGCCCGTGACTGTCAGAGTATGCTAGGATATTACAGCTATTAACAGACGCATGTCATGCTGGATTATGTTTCTTAAAAGAATCGCCCGCAAATCACCCGCAAGACCACAAATCACCGAGCTCATTTGTTGCCGATGATGATGATGGAATATCGTAGCCAAATTATAAGTCTTGAGTCATCAGACATCTTTGGATCTGAGTCTCACGACTGTGCGGGCCGTGAAGCCGTAGAAGACGCTAGTGGGCGGTCTGGTGGCCTAGTAGGTCTTGAGACCGCGGTCTTAGAATCTGCTGGGTCTCTAGCTCTGTCTACCGCCCCCGGGTCAATGTCACTAAACCTAAGTACGTATTCTTACATGAGCAAATTTTAGTTTTAAGCTACATGTCATCAGCTTTGAAATATATTTCTTATAATCGCCTAGGATTTTAGCCTCTAATCTAACAGCCTTAGTGGCCTTTTGACAATCAACACATGCTGAACTATGACTTCGATTTTCTCGGGCCATGAGAACAGTTTCGCATAACCTTTATAGTCTCTAGGCAGAACAGGTACATATTACAAAACTAAGACTCTTAACAGTATTCTTATTCCAACTCCTCCCATAGCCTGATATCTGACAATCTTACCCTTAGTCGGATTATCTGATCCGCCCCGCCTTAAAGAACTCGAAATAAGACTAATATATACCAACACCACCAAATAGATAAACATACGAGCCCTCATTATGTTGCGGCACACTTTGGCTATGCTACTTGAGGCAAATATACTTTTTCAAGCTAAAGGCCTTTGGTCTGGCTTTATGGGGACCCTGACCGAGCTAAAAATGGGTTATGGGTCTTGTGGATCGATCTGAGATCGTCCGAATCGTCCCCACACTGACGTAGCACCGTTTTCTCCTTTCTCGAGAGGCCTTTCTTTACGATCAGAGACTGCCAGGGTGAGGGTAGTCGTGCCACAAATGGTGCTGAAGCGTCCAGAGAAATTATTTTATCTTCCTCGAAGTTTATGTATGAAGTCGACTTGTTGCCGTAGTGGAGGTGCGTGGGGAAAGCCTATTGGATGTGTGCCGGAGGTTTATTCATATCTTGTGTCTCATTAAAGGCTCGAAGGCTCAAATGCGTTTGTGTTCGTAGTCACTATTTGTATTGGGCTCTTTTGTGCATTCTGCTGACAGCCTCTAGGAAGCTGCCCTGCTATGTAGCAGAGTGAGCAACCTTGTGAGAGTTGTGGGAGTCGGGAAACATTTCCTCAAGGCTGATCTCGCCTCCGTCGACCGCTCTGTCACACCCTGGCTAATCGTCGCTGGACACAGACCGTGGTACTCAACAGGAGGGTCATCAAACGTCTGTGGTCCCTGTCAAGAGGCTTTTGAAGGCCTGTTTTACCAGTACGGCGTTGACACCGCGTTCCAGTTATTAGCCTCTATATATAGCTGACTACATCAGGGCGCTAACCCGAAGGGGAAGGAAGCATCCAGCAGGAGGAGTGAGAGGAGTGATCACCCTAACAGTTAACGGCCCGTCCCCCACCTAACACGGTGTTGGTGCTGGTCGGCTCAACATAATTCTCGGATTAGTTCCCAAATCTGGAGGTACCTGTGTGTTTAGTCAGCTTCCTGAAAAGCCAGACTAGGTGAGGCTCGTTACATTAGGTTGTTGATTGGCTTCCAGGAAGATGACTAAAGTGACCCTCAATCGCAACAGCGAAAACCAAAAGGGTGTCGCGAGACTTCCGCCACAATAATCTCCCCCACGGCAAACAAAGTAGAGACGGGAACTTTTTGGTCCTTTCTTCGTCCTCAACTTGGATGCACCGAAAGCGGGTTGGTTCTAGATTTTGAATAGGGTCCCTACCTTCCAACACCAGTTCAGAACCGAAAGCAACCTCTAGACGGCGCGAAAGACTTTTTAACTTGGTATCTCTGTAAACAATTTGAATGATACGGGGCTTCATAAACTAAGATCAAGTACAGATCTTCCTTAAAAGAGTCCAGTCCCTCCATCTGGCTAATAATCAGCTTCTAGGGGGCTGATAAACTTTGTCTTGAAATGCGAAGTATAAATGGGCCTACAGGAGAAATTGAGGAACGGGACTAAAGGAGAATAAAGGCTCACAAGGAATCACACAAGAGATTAAGTAGAAACTGATATGATGGTCTTCTTCCAAGAACGAGATAAAACTAGAACAACGTATGAAAGTCTTCAGGTGCAATGATACATAGTGAATCATTAGCGTATGGCGGGTTGGTAGATATATTGGATTTCGTTGGGGCTGTCAGCTCGGGGAGTCTCCCTTAGGTCCTAGAGCCTTTTTACGAGTCTCCTCGAACTGGAACCCGAGTTGGGTGGGGTGTCCAGCTCGATAGTGAAAGACGTTAGTTTAACTAGTTAGCTAGTTACTCAAAAACAACCTTACATAACTACATAACTTACGCAAGTCAACGAGAGATTAGATGCGTTGGAGATGAGTCTACGGGTGCGTCACTTGCTTATGAAATACGTTCTGGGTGAATATTGGAACCTTGGAACTAAGGCGGTGAACGCAACTCCCATCCAACATTGAAGCCTCGCAAAACCAGATGGGCCACGGCCAGCACCTCATGTGTTCCTATAAGGCAATTGACCCTCCCGAGATTAAGATGGTTGAAGAATCAAATACTAGAAGAACGAGGGCAAGCCATCCAAAGGTTCGCTCTGGCTGCCAAGCGTGCAAGTAAGTAAGCTAACATGCGGGCTACTAGCGAGATCTCCGGTAACTAATATATCACTCTCTAGAATTCGGCGCAAAAAGTGCGATGAAATGTACCCGTCATGTCTGAAATGCACCAATACGGGCCGAGTATGCGAATACGTGGAGACTCTGGACCGGCGTAAACGCGGAATGCGAGACATACAGGTCATCAGCCCGGCCCCAAATGCGGCCCCCTACTCGGCCCCCCATTCAGCCCCCGGTTATTTCGTGGCACCACAGTTACTCGATCCAAGCCAAGTGGGTCTTTCACACACCGAACGATGGTACCTCGATTTATTCAAGACGCATACTTCTACAAAATGTACTGGATATATGGTCGATGACTTCTGGCAGCGACTCGTTCACCAGGTCGCCTCGGAGGAACCTGCTGTGCGACATGCAGCCATTGCTTTGAGCTCTATGCATTGGCAATTTATACAAGAAGCCGACTGTTTCAAATCGAAGTCCCTGGTCAAGGCTAAGCCTAGTGCAAGTAAAATCCCGTCTTTCACGCTAGCGCAGTGCACTAAGGCCCTTGTTTCTCTACGGCAGAGACTAACGAAGGGAGATACATATACGACAAGCAGCGCGCATAGAGAGGCCGTTCTTGTTTCGTGTATTATGCTGGTGTCGCTGTCTCTCTTCCAGGGCGATGTTAAGGCCGTGACCTCGCACCTACGGTCCGGTTATAATGTGCTTATGGAATGGCAGAAGGTCAATTTTGATGGGAATTCCTCAGGACTGGTCCTAATGCGCACATTTTCAGATCTACAGCTACACCGGCTTACATTCTCTCAAGCATTGAATGATATAGACGCAGAAGCAGACGATCTACCGCTCTGGCAGGCGATTACCGTATGCCGACCTATATATGGGCATTCGGGAGTGTCTGAAATTGATTTTGTGATTATCATTGGGGCAGCTATCATGGCGAATTATCCGCAGGGACTCGAACTCCGCGTAGGATCTAGTCTACGGGGGCTGAACGCCGCCCTTGCCGATCTACTCTATCAGAATAATGTGGAAAAGACGGTCGAAGAGAGATTAAAGAACTGGAAGAGCGAGTTCCATGCTTTCATCTCGACACATAGGGATACCTTATCTCCACAAGACCGCGGCCCGATTATACTGATCGAGCTATGGACTATGTCCTGTGATACCCTACTTGATGCTCTTAGAAGCCCGCTGGATGAGATGGCTCACGATTCCTGTTTGCCCCTTTTCCAGCGGATAAACGAATTGGCAGCACTTTACTTGAGCTTGGCGGAGCAAGCTTCCATGTTCTCCACTAAACCCATGCTTCTGCAAATACTATATTTCGTTGCCTGTAAATGCCGCGACTGGCATACGCGCCGGGCGACAGTACGCCTATTGCGTGATTTCCCGCGACGAGAAGGTCTCTGGACGTCGGACCATTTCATCGCTGTAATGGAACACGTTATCAATCAGGAGTCTGCTGGTTTGACGCCTAATGACGTGATTCCACGCGCAGCTCGTATTGATCTGATGCATATCAATCCCGTGGATCAGTGCAAGTTCAATTTATGGTATCATCGACCTTGCACCCCCGAGGAGGTTGCCAATGGTGCCGATGTCCATGGAAAATGGACAACCGTAGCGCTATCAGCTTAATGGCACCAACGAGTCAAAGAGGAAACCAAAAACCAACCACGCAATTAGCAAAAAGCTAGCATCTAAAATTTTGGCAGTTTTTGTTGGCCAGTGAAGTGGTTATGAACCAACAAGGAAGGATTGCGACATGATACTATCTCGTCAGCTGGTCTCCCGGGGTCAGGTCGCAATGAGTTTGGCTGGGTCAGGCTGTTCAGGTAAACAATGAGTGGGATTGGTTGCTTAGTTCTCAGTGAGCAAAAAGCGGCGAGGGTTGAGCACTAAAACGAAAAGTGAAAGCCCAGACATTATTGCAGAGATCGAAGAGTGTATAGTATTCCCAGCGATCACTAATGAATATATATCCGTGTAAATCAACTGTTAAGTACAGTATCTATCACAACACTCCGATAGCTCGCCTTGAATAGCGCTAACACAAAACCACCCAAAAAACCACCACCATTATATACCGCAAAGACCACGGAAAACCAAAGCGCACATCTGATTCAAATCTACCACCCCTCCAACGGCGTAAGCAAGGCAAGTACTCCGTCTTTAGGTGAAACAGTAGCACCCTCCCGCATCTCCAACTTGGCATCAGGAAACTTCAACTCCATGTGAAACCGACCAACAGTAGCAGCAATCAAGCAAGCAAGCTCCGCCTTCGCAAAACCCTGCCCAATGCACCCACGTGGACCATGCAGGAAAGTCAAAAAGGCATAATTATTAACCGCACCGCCGGTATTAGCCTTACCGGGACCCATAAAGCGGTCCGGATTGAATTCGTTCGCGTCTGGTCCCCACAACTCTTCCAACCGGTTGATGATCTGCGGAGACATCGTGAATGTGGTACCGTTGGGAATATGTGAGCCGGCAATACTTGTGTCACGAACCGCCTTGCGTGTGGTTGTCGGCACAGAGGGGTGGAAACGGAGGACCTCGTTGCACACTGCATTTAAGTATGGCAGATTATCAATGGCGGCTGCGGAGATTGGAGTCGGGTCGTCCGCGGAGGGAAGATTAGCACGGATTTCATCCCGCAGACGGGTTTGGACGTTGGGGTTCTTGCAGAGTGCGTAAACGGCCCACTGTAGTGCTGAGGCGGTTGTCTCGTGGCCTGCGCCTAGGAAGGTCATGGATTGGTCGACGAGGTTCTCTTCGTCGAAGGTGCCGCTGGTGAGTGCAACGGAGATAATGTCAATGCCGGTTTCGGAATTGGGGTCTTCCATCTTTGCCTTCTTCTGTCGGATCATCTGTCGCGCGACGTTGCGGATGACCTCGCCACTCTCCTTGACATCTTTGTTGCGTTTCGTCGGTAAGGAGTGGATCCACGCTGGCCTTCCGAATAACAGACTTACGACGAAAATGATTTTCGTGATGAGGGGTGGTGATGACATAACTTTGCGGTAGGATTGGTTGAGAGTGTTGTTAGGATCACGGAGAGAGTCGAAGTCGTGGTCCATACCGGCGACGCCGATGATATCCAAGGTTGCTCGACTGGCCCAGTTACTGATCTGAACTGTATTGTCGGCATTACCACTGGCCTTCCTGCTCTGTAGGTCTTTCTCAATCATCTTGACCATTTCTATACTCTTGTCCCAGAAGACTGGATAGAGGTTCTTGATGTGGCGATAGGCAAAGGCTGGCAGAAGATTCTTGCGTTGCATCTGGTGGAGATATTGTAAGTTTAAATCTATGCAGAGTGGCATTTGAAGGGTCAAATTTACCTTGTGCTCTTCGCCTTCAGCAAGTAGGATTCCGTCACCTGTAATGCGCCGCAAAACTTGCCGAACCAATTCGGGTTTTTCAAAATCGTAAACTTTCGTAACAAGCACCTCGCCCAATGCTTTTGGGCTTGTTACGGCCACTCTTTCGAGGTTTGCGATCATATAGTACCGGATGAGACCTTGATCGGGCCTGTTCTTCGCCCACTCCCGTAATTTCGGATAGGGAGTCTCAAGCAGGAAACCCGTCGAATTCCCCCTGAGCCAACTTCGTCCCTAGATACTATTAGGCACGTTTATCGGACCCATAGGAATGATGAGGAGCCTACCGCAGGTGAATAAATGTGTTTCAAGGGAGTGAAATAATCGGGATAGAACACAAGCTGATAAAGAATCCTTGACACAGTAATGATCCCGAAAAGGACAGCGAATGTCACAATCCTTGAGTTGAAAATAGCGTACTCCGGCTTGAAGTATATCCCGGCGGCGAGGCCGACATAGAGAATGGTGAAGCTGTCGCTGACGTGTCCCATTGCTAGGGGTTTCTGGATGGTCCGGGGGGAAATATATTGTAGTCTGACAGCCCAGATCTCACATAGAGCGGAGAAGATTAAAGTAGATCTTCCTGTTACCAAGGGCCCTCTTGGTTTCGATAGTTCCCTAGTAGTGAAGAGCCGCGTGTGGGGTGTAGATGAAATGACAAAGTGCTTGGCTCTCGTTGGCTCAATAGATCTGCATCCTATACAGAGTACTTCATTCGGTCTCAGAGACAGCAATGCACACTGGAAAGAATATGGATGACCTTTGCAGATGTGAGATGAATTTAAATCGGGAAAAAAAGCCGCAAGGGATACAACTTTGAGATGGTTGCCTGGAATTACCAATGACAAGCGCAGAGTTTCCAAGGTTACAAACAGATAAAATTCAAACACCGTAACAACATTTGAACTGTTGCAAGGTTATAAGATGAAAGGAGAATTTCAATGGAGTCGAGGATTGTTTTTCACGATCTCTTTTTATACGGAGTAAGGGATTCAAACCTAGCCCCTCGCAATCGATACCGGATTAAGCGATACTGGATCCGCGAACAGACCCCTGTCTTCCATGACATGGCGAATTATACTTTGACATATAACAACTCGGAAAATTGTGTCGAGCATATAAATTTACATTTTTCGAATGTCAACTTGCATTAGATTCCCAAGGAGGCACCTGTTATGATTATGTCATCAGATCGGCCCCGATCCCCTGGTGATCCATGGATGTAAGCGGGTCCCCCCAGCAATTCCATAGTTCCTCCCTACCGAGGTCCCCACCTAGCCATTATCCATTATCATTTATGCTTGAGAACAGATTGCCCATTCAGATTGGGTACGATTACATGTATGCTACCGAGGCCCGAAATCGATGAATTAATGATTAGGGTGGAAGCTGGTTTCAGTAAGGACTGTCCAAACACGAAGAAATATATCATTTACTGGAAGCTCTAACTCGCATGCCCGCAGTATTACAGGACAAAGAATGGGAATGCCTCTATCAATACCGCACCTGCTCCTAATCAAAACTCGACAACATCACCAAAAGGTAGCCTCCAACTCAGACATCCGCCGACCCTACAATTCTATTAAACTCCCCAACCGTATGCTTCCAAACCTTCTGTGCCATCCCCTGCTCGCGCAGTCCAGCCAACAACTCAACGACCTTTGGACCAGCATGCTCCCCACTCCAGTGAATACTGTAAACCCCACTCCCAATCTTCCCATCCGTCCCACTGGCAACCTCAACCCCCTCCGACAAAGGCACACCAGAGGAAGCTTCCGCCGCGGTATCGGAACGGGCACGGGGAGGATACTTTGCACTCGTAGCGAAGAATAGATGTCTCTCCCCGGACTCCCGGATCGGGATATATATTAATGGCCCAATAATCATAAGCACGATAGTCATAAACCAGGCCAGCAGAGTATTCGACTCGCGTCCAATCCCTGTCTTAACTGCACCGGGGTAATCGTTAATAAACGTCACTTCTGGCGCTTGCTCGGCCAGTGTTTCCAGTGCCATATCAGTCATGGACACAAGATGTCCACGTATCTTTAGCATGGACATCGTCTTTCCTTGGAAATCGGTTATGTCAATGGGACCTTCGTGGCCGCCAGCTAGGACACTGACGACACGTCGTAAACTTGTTGCTTGTTTGAGATTTGGGAGGAGATTGGCGATGAATCGTGTTCGCGCGTAATATCCAGTTGCAGACATGATATGGAGGCCTTCGGATGTATCTTTTTATATCATGAGCAACTATGCTTTTTTCTTATCGGGGATGTGAGAATGCCCTACCTTCTCCGCACCGAATAGTTCCACAGCTAAGGAAGAGGATGTTGATACTCTTTTCCTTACTCCGAATCTCGCGACAGGCCGCGTCGACGTTCCGAATTAGACTAACGTCCGCTTGGATGAAAATGAATTCTCCCTCCGGGTTCAACTGGCGGCATTCGGCTGTGATGCGGGCTGCGGCTTCTTGCGAGCGGCCGATGAAGTACGCGCGAGGTGATCGGGCTGACCGGGCGAATTCTTTTAGGGCTGCTTCGCCGATGCCATTTGTTGCGCCTACAAAGACTGCCACGAGACCTGGGAGCGTGGTGGCGATTTGGGAATTTGAGGACTGGACGTCTGGTAGAGAGACCATTTTGGATGTTGGCGATTGGAGTGTCTGTCGTCAATTATGGAGGTTATTTGAGGTTATCATTCTATGTATTTATATTGCAGGGATATCGCTCGTATTGTGCTATGTTCTGTTCGGTCCATCGATAGGCCGTCTCGGACATAAGACGGACGAAGCCGAGACGGACGAATGAAACCCCGGGAATTTAACCTTCGCACAAGGCATAAGCAAAGCTTTGTCTATTTGTCAGATTTAGTAGAAGCGTGAAGATATTATAAATGTACATGACAAAAACAGTTGGTCGCTCATTCAGCCTCAAGGCGTCTTTCTGGCAATCATCCTATAATTCCCAGATACAGTCTCATTCGAGAAACTCATATATTATTTTGGATCTTCCCATATTTAGGTAGAGCCTATTCACCATCTATTCTGACTCGAGAATTGCTTCTTAGTAGGACGATTCTCAGTTCTGGATGAGAGCATCGGCCGGAGCATGTCGAAGATAGCATATCTCTCCTTTGCGAATGTTACCTAGGTGAACGTCCCCATAGGCAATTCCTTTGGCATACACATAAACCACAGCGTGAGCGAGTTGCGCAGCTAATGGTCTGGCTACGTCAAGCTAGAATAAGCGGATCCGCGAACCATCTTTCGACCCGGAGAGGCTAGCCCTCGCCGTCGCTACAACGTAGCAAGTATGACTGCCGCTTGGACCGTGAATACTGAACCTATCTAAAATCGAAGGGACTATTGTCTTTCTAGGAGTATAGATTGGAGAATAATGAGGGCGAGTGAGAGTTGATATAATGTCCACTTTCTTTAGGTTCGAGTTTGCTATACAAACTTTTAGGGCAACATATTTATTGGATTGTTCATCGCAGACCAGCCACGTAGTTGAATATGACCCATTTCTTAGCTTATGAACAATTCGATATCGACTGTGAAAGTGATCTCCGATTTGTATGGGGTGATAACCCCCTTGGTCGGTAGTTCTCAGATCTTTCGACTTCCTCAAGGGACTTATAGAGGAAACGGATGTTAATCTCTTCACCATCAGGTGTTCATTGAGGTGAATGCGGTGAGAATGAACGGACAGCGCTGTTGATTGTGATGAAGCAGTCGCATATGCATCTTACGAAGGACACGAGCATGAACTCGGGAACATAATCCATGTGCAACGACCGAATGGCCAATGAGAACAGTTTACTGATTGCCGTATTATGTATAGATATTGGGCTAAAAGAAGTTAGATAAAAGAGATGAATGTTGATGAAATATAGCGCGACTCGCTGGAATAGCTTTTGAGGCTGGGCGCTGTCTGATTGGGGGATTGCTGCCGATCCGGGGGTGGAGATAAGGCCGTTCTTCGTCAGCTCCGACATTGAAGGTTTCACTTTCAATGTTTGGGGATGGGCTGTTTCGTAGGGAAGCGCCTCGGAGCCCTCAGGTTAGTGCTCGTTGAGGCCAAGTCTTGGCGTTGGTCTTGGAAATGAGCTTGTCCTTTCCAAGGTTAGACATGATCATGTGATGTCTAAAATAGGTCATGACACCTTAGGTATCAACATGTTTGTTTACTCCTGTTCGAGATCAAGAGAGTATAGCACAAAACATAAAAAAAGATAACCCCAGAAGGCCACGTCGGAAATATCAAACTGTGTAGCGCCCGGAGTGAATCAAGCGCTTACATGGGCCGGCTCCTGGCGCGTGCGGATGGCCAGTGAGCAGCCAGAATGGATAGTGTCGGGGGTCCCATCTTATCTGTCTCAGGGTTTTAGTGGGCCAGTGATAGGAATTGTTACCAGAAAAGGTATTCTGTCAATAGCCCCGGGGTATTGATGAAGGTAGCCTAGAACATTCCCAATTTAGAACATTAGAAGAACAGACAAAAGAGAAAAAAGAAAAAGAAAAAGAAAAAGAGCCCAAATGAACAAAAAGAAGACAGACCCTGTCAGCCCTAAAAAGTAAACCCGCTCGTGCCTGTAACTTCCCGCGTCCCCACACCCCTGCCGAACTCCTCATCTCCCCTCGTTTCACTTCTCCTTTCCCAACTTCCATTTGAGTCACTCATTTTTCCCAGGTTCAAAGCTGGGGAGGTTGCCACACTCTTTCAACCCTATTTTCGCCTATTGGCACTGGTAATTGCGCATTCTTTCTCCACGTACTGCCCCTTTCTTGGCGAGATCGGCGGTCTTCAATGAAAGTCCGTCTATTGTCGCTTTGAATACCCCAATGCGCGCCCAGAATACCGGCGCTTCATTGTGACCATATACACGTGGCTTGCATTCTTCGATACCTGACACCACGATCAGCCTCCCTCCTTGCCTTCTGCAGGTATGCGCCATTCGCGCGGTTAATATACCACCACTCCCCTCGTTGCGCCTGACCTTTGTCTCTCTTTATTCTTTACACCTATTTCCAACCTCGATCACGACTTTTTCCCGGCTGGCCCGAGGAAGTCGACGTTTTTGTCCGTGATCGCGCCATTCTTTCCAATTGTCCGTGATCACTCCCTGGCAGGACCAGGTCAATTGACACAATGCTGTGTGGTGGAGACCGTGAGAAGGGAGACGTCGCGATGGAGGAGAAATGGGACTATGTGGTAGGTCTACAAAATCACCGTGTTAAATATGCTGTATAGGTGGTTCGGCATACTCATAATTACTCCCTTAGAATTTGGACGACTTTAAATCGGAGTCTTGCCTGACGCCCTTCTCATATTTCTTCTTATGGGTGTTCCTATTTATCTCAATCGCAGTCTACGGTGTCGATACATTCACTGCAGTCAACTTGCTGGCTTTCTCTCGATGGTCCGGTAGAGTTGAACCCGCCATTCCCTTCAATATCTCCCGTTGGATTTTCGCCGCCTGCATTATTGCTTCGTTCATTCTTTTGGCCTACCGATGGATACATGCCGTCCGCGCCATCCGATCGGGTAGTATTACTCGCAGCTTCCTGGATCCGCTGGCCGTGCGTATTCAGAGTATTCGATTCGGCAGGCGGGGTCGTGGGTACAGGAGATTCCTTGTCTTCGCTGAATTAACCAAAGACAGGAAAGCGGCAGAATATGTTGCTCTTTATGCATACTTCTCTTTCCAGTGTGGGTATACCACTATGGCTCACTAGTCTTCAATAATTGCTAACGGAGCTTTTAGTCTGGATGAACACGATCTTCGCAGATGGCCCGCGTCAAGTTCTCAATGCCATCACTCTCTATTCGGTCATGCAAATGGACCTCATTCCTGGGGGAAAGAATGCAGCCCATGATGATGGAAGTTCCTCGGCTGCTCAATTCTTCAACAACGTTAAGATTTTGGCCGAGGACAACACCCTTCAAGCTGTGGTCTTGTTCGGTATGCTTTTCACCCTGGTCATTTGGGTCCTATCGGTTCTCAAGTTGATCTCGGCAATTGTACTCTACTTGATCTTCCTGTTCCACCACATCCCAGCGGAAGACGGTACTCTTTCGAGGTACTGCCGTCGAAAGGTTGGCCAACGTCTGAAGCGCATCGTGCACCGCAAGAACAATAAGGCCCTGGCAAAGGGACTCAAATTACAGAACCGAGCACCCACTCAGCCATCGCTAGCCACGGATTCGAACCCGACTCTGCCGTCTTTCGCCGAAGACAAGGTCCCTGCAGTGGCTTCGTTGTCGCGAAGTACTACCCAGACTACTTTGCCGCCTTACTCGCGATCGACTTCGACAGCGCCGACGCACAACCCGACACTGCCGAATCTGGACTTCGATGCCAAACCAACACTGGCCCGAACCGGGACTTCTTCTTCAGCTATGTCCGAGTCCGCTTCACTGACCGGCAATGCGGCCGGAATGGGATACACTCCCCTTGATGGGCAGAAACCGACGCTTCCGACACTTCCCCCGGTCCCTCCCTTACCGGCTAACGTTCCATCACGGAAGGCCACTCCTCACTCTCAAGCGACTCCTGCGCCATATGGCAATGATGGTCGTAATACCCCCGGCCCTGGATATCGCAACCTGACTGATAGCTCTGGTTCTCGAGCATATCAGAGTCACACCCCAGCGCCCGATTATTCTTCGGCTGACATGGACCCATCCGATGATTACGATCATTACAACCGTGGCGATGCGCCAGCCCACTACGACCCATACGGTCCTCCGAGGGGTACATACGGCGGAGAGGACGAATATGGAGCAAGATACGCGCCTCCCGGTGGCCAGAGAGGTCCGCCTCGCACACAGCAAGATTACTATCCACAGGATCCATACGATACAAGATCCTATACGCCGGCCGGCACTGGTGCGACGCCTGCTCCTTACCGAACAAACACCCCGGCAAGCTACCAACCACCGCCCCCACAAGCAGCCGCATACGGACAGCCACCACAAAGGACGCACACTCCAATGAGTGCAGCAACTCCCGCTCCTGAAAACGGTGGCTATACAGCTTTTAACCCGTCGATGGCTCATCATACACCCCAGCCTCGCTCCCAGGGACCTCCTGGTCCGTCCAGCTATACTCGGGCAAATACCGCTTCGCCCTCGGCCATGCATTGCGCTCCGCCAGGACACACATTCAATCGCGCAAATACCCACCAATATTGATAAGGCTCATCCTCGTAGCATTCAAATGAAGGCTATGACACCTTATTATGATGAAAACCAGGAGCTGGCTCTCCTGTGATTGATGACCGGTCTACTCTCATACTGATCACGACCAGCGAGCCTCTCGAAGTTTTGTACATACCCCTATTTCCCTTACTTTGATATCCTTCCTCAAATTCTTATTCCCGATGACATGAATTGATACCTTTTATTCACCCATCTACTACAATGTATAGATAGCAAGTAGCTCGAAAGTAATCTTGATATCCCATTATATTACACGATTCCATGATTCAAAACAATGTAAAGTAAGAATAGGATGAGTATTATACAGCTTTGGATACTAAGTTACACTCAACCAGTGGACACCTTCCACCATCCACAACAAACATCCAATCACCAAATCTTCTTTGCAATCATCTCATACCGCTGTACATGATCAACATTGAACTCCCCATCCTTGCTCTTATCCTTCTCCTCCTTCTCCTTCAACTTCCTCAACCCATCCGGATCATCCGCATAAATCAACCTCCTCTTCTCATCCCCAACCTCAACAACACCCCACCCACCAACACGCTGACTCCCTTCAACATAGTAATCCCGAGTACGAGGCGCTCCACTCTCAGTACCAGACTGATTATTCGAGGACTGTTTCCGCTCACTCTCCCGACCCTTCATTTTGCTGTATCGAGAGCGCGCAAACGCGAGTAAGGCCATTCCCAGCAGGAGTTTCAAGATGAGTAGCACGATGAATCCTGTCAGTAGCAGGATACCCGTGAAGATATGGACAGACTGTGCTGGTGACGGGATTGCGTTTTCGAGGAGGGTGCGGAAGAGCGCGCTGACGTGAGCGGCGGAGGCCGGGAGGAGGGTTGCGAGTGTCAAGGGTGGGGCGGAAGGAACCGGGGAGGGGGCGTAGTTGTTGTGGATTGAGGTTAGGGACGTTGCTCCCATTGCTGTTGAGGAGGGGTGTTGGGGGAGTAAGGCTGCTAGGAACATTTGGTATGTTTGCACGGAGACTCGGAAGAAGAGGCAGGAGAGGGGGATGACTGGGAGGCCAATGCGACGGGTTAGGTTTTGTTCGCCGAAGGCGTTGGTGTAGTAGTCCTTTGCTAGGACGTCGAGGAATCGGCTGTAGATTGCTGGGCGGTTGTTGTTGAATTTGTTGATGTAGGCGTGTTTCAGCCAGTCTACTAGCATCTCTGAGCCTAGTACGACAAGGAATGGACCTAGGACTTGGGCTAGGGTTGGGATGAAGGAGTTCACACTGTTCAAGGATGAGAGGATTGAGGATGGGAAGAGGGTGAAAGCTTGAGGGAGAATGGATGATGCTGTGCGTGGAGGCGTGGATAACGGTGTGCTGTTCGTGATTGTAGAGGTCTGGCCTGGGAAGCTAGACGCCAGCCCGAGGTTACCGACGAAATTGAATGCGCCTGTTTCCACGATATTACGCGAAGCGATGATTGTAAGCATCAGCCACAGCTGGAATCGTTCCACAACGTCCGCGCAGGTAAGTTGGAAAAGGTTCTCTTTCTCGAACTTGCGGAACACTGTGGATTTAATCTCCACAAACTGGTTTGATAGAAGTAGCGTGATCAGAGCGTTAGAGTACGAGTTCACTGCCACGTTCAAAGTTATGACCTGGTAGAACAGAGACAATGCATGGGATACTGTGTAAACCAGTGCCACAAGGAACAACCAAAATGGACGGATGATCTTGCTTCGGCCGTCCGGACGACGCTCAAGAGCCTCCCGCGAGAAGAGACATTCGAGAACATCTTGGCCTATGGCGGCCAAGAGTCTGTCGCTGACCTCCAACACATTGTAGATAACGTATAGCTTGATAGCAGCCTGTCCACGAATCCAGTGGTACATTCGACTTGCATCGAAATACATCAAAACACAGCAGGTGGCTATCATCAGCAGGCCTGTCAGGATATCCGCTTTATCGTCTGGAAGTAGCGCCGACGGCATCGACTTCTTCCGCCGATGATGATATTTGCGGGATTCGGAGGACCGATGTTTCCTTCTTGGTGCTATGTCTGGCCCTGCAGAGGAGCCCGGAGGCAGGTGAGGAGTGGCATCAGATTCGCTTTCGCGTCTTCCACGCTGGTCCTCCGCATTATGAACTCTCCTGCGCCATACTCGACCAATCCCATTCAGCACAAATTTCCAAATGAACCGGATCTCGGCTCCCAGGTTCATCACCCATGACTCGACCAAGATATAGACGGCCTTGATAAACCGCAGTGGCATTATCGTGAAAGAGTAAAGCCATGCATCAAGGCAGGCAAGGCTCCCAAAGCAAAGTACCTGCTCGAGCATAGGTACAAGCATAATAAAGTTCATAAGCCTCTCAATCTTGACTGCCGATGATTCATAGGGGAAGTCGTTAGCTGCGTCACGGTGGATGTACAATGGTGAAGGGCGACCAGAAGCAAGTTCGAGCTGAAGATAGGTCGGTAGAGAAACTGGCGGTAAAGGGATAGACGACGGCAATGGCGAGGGCACAGGCGATTCTATAATCTGAGGTGATGCGATAAGGTGATTCTTCAACTCGCGGTCCAGCGCGGGTCGGTCCTGTTTCGAGCGCGATGCCCATGTCTGGGTTAGGCGGTCATTACCTGTGGTCAGGGGCAATTGACGCCGCATGGAGCCAGGGGTCGAAACTGTTCGTGCGGCGTGAGGCCTATTGCGGAGGGAGGGGTTTTGAGTATTTCGTGGGAAGGCAGGGCTCCCCGACTCAGAAACATCTCCCAGCAACACTTCTTTAGTAGGCCGCAACTTTGGCAAAACATCTGAGGACGAAGGCTTTTCGCTCAGTGACTGAAGCACAAACTCCGGTATATCCGGTGGCGCGAGAGGGCCACTCCCATGGATATTGTCCGAGGCTACTCGCCTTCCAGTGCTCGTTTCTGATCCCACAGGACGGTAAGGTATTGACTCCGGGGAGGAGGTGAGTGCCTGGATCTTCTCGGGAGACAACTTCATGATCTTATCTTTATCCTCCGGTGGTTGGTGAGACTGATCATTAGACAACTCAGCCAAAACAGCCCTGACCTTGGGGCCATCGTACACATCCACTACCGACAACTGGCCAGGACTATCTCCGTTGTTTGGTGAGTGCTCGACTAGAATGCCGAGTCCCTGCTCGGGTTCCAAGTCTGCCATCTTATGTCCTCCGTTGGTAAGGTGGCGCTCCGAGGTCGTATCGTGTCTCCGTTGTCCATCTGTGCCATCGTCTCCATTGGTTGGGTGTTCGTCAGCCTCGCCGTTGAACTGTGCCACAGGAGTATCTAATCGACTGCGTGTCCCCTGGATAGAATTGAATAAGGATTGTTTCTCAACCTTCAGGCTCCCATTGATTCCGTTTTCGATACCATGTTCGGTCATCTTCCGTTGTGAAGGAGCTTCACTGGGATCTGCGGCAGGGCTCATTCTGACCAAGTAACCCGTAACAAGCCAAATTATTCCTTTAAAATATCCACAATCTTGCAGTATCGCCGGTCATACCATCAGAAAGTGTAGACCTCCAACTTGTAATTTGAATTTGGCTCGCGATAGGTGATCAAGCTATGTCCGAAGGCGAAAGGACGTGACAAAAGGATAATAAGGCAACGCTGGTATGGTTCGTTCTATTAACAATGGAATCCGTCCAGCTGGTACATCCTGAAAAAACAAGACACAGTCTAGGCTGTTCAGACACTTGTTGGTGTTGGGGCCGTCTGGGGGAAGATAAGGACGGCAGATTATCTGGCAGGTCGGTGACTCGGAGGTTAGCGTCATTGATGCCTTAGGCATAAGGAACATAGTCACGTGCGTCTGAAATAGGAAATGTATTATCACCTCATGCAAGGCACAACTCCCATCTCAGGTACAACATAGACAGAAATGTCTCTATTTTCACTACCCTTGGAGCTCTTACTCTGCATAACTGAAAATCTTGAATATGCATCAGATTTAAACGTATATTATTGTATGGTTTATTAGTTTCAATTTCTATTACGTCGGAGTATAAAATCATCTAATCCAGAGTTATCTCACGACTTAAAATCAAATATTCGTCTCTTTCGATGCCGTATTTCCGCCTTAGATAGCACCACTCCTTTCCTAGAAGACCCTTTAGAACCCCAATCTTGTAATGAAGTTTCAGAAGGTAGAGCTCGAACAAGGCTATTCCACGGATAAATGGAGAGCCGTAAATATAGCCTTTCAAGTCGTTCTTATATCTGACATGGAACTTTATGACATAAAGACGGGTTGTGGGGTCCAGATTGTACGGTCGTGTCTCTCAAATTCAGCGATTTCCTGTATCAGGATCATAAATAGAATCTATATTATCAGCGTTCCCAGAGAATCTCTTCTGAGTTAGATACCTCTTTTTCTCCCTATTTTTAGACTACTGTGGCGCACTATGAAAGATTCGAGAAAGCGCATTTCTGCCATGTGTTTGCTGCTGGCTGGGTACCGCCCCGGAGACTGATTCCCTGCTTCGCTGCGTGATGCCATTCCCAAGGCTCCATCAGTAAACATGGACAAAGCCAGTCAGACCAGGGGCCCCTTGTTTGACAGCTCCGACTGGATCCGGCACGCTCAATTCAATCTTCTGTTCGTGCCCCAACCGTATGCACAGCCTCCAACAGAGGATTTAGATCGATGTTGTGACTGCCAGACGCCCACTAAGCTCGCCAAACGCACCTACGGCACAAGCCATCTCTTCACCTCAGTCAAATTTCTTACGGCCGAGAACAGCGCCGTCTTTGTCCGCTTTTTCAAGTTCCAGCACGCCACCAATGGAGAGACTTCGCCGGCGCCGAAGACCGGCATTCTCGTGCCTGGAATGCAGGCGACGAAAGATAAAGTGCGATCGGAAAGATCCGTGCTCACATTGCGTCTCCGTCGCGATCCAGTGTGTGCACAAGGTCTTTCGAGATGCGCCCGAGACATCCCCCGTCCAAAGTAGTACGCAGGGTCGGACAGCAGTCTCCTCATCAGTTGATACCCCATCCTCCCGTGCCCAAAGCCGACCCTCTCGCACACATAGAATCGTAAACAAAAAGGGCAGCGTGACGTCCAGGCCTCTCGTCGCCAGAGCGGATATATCACAGTCCACACCAGCACTAACACTCGCGGGGCAAACAGAAGCCACCACAGCTCAGACCCCAGGAACTACCCGTGCCGAAGATGAGCAGCCAAGTGTACATGCTCTTCTACAACGGATACAGCATCTCGAGAATTCTCTGGCAACGAGTCCCGTACCAGTGCACTTTGAGCCTGGAGGGGAATTGATTGGTCGCCAACTGGTGCATCAAGATACACGGGTCAGCCTCTACAAGACAAGGACCTTAAAATGGAGCTACTGGGTGGGTATGGCTGATGAGGTATGCCCTATAGTTACGTCGCCCTTCTGCTACTTTGCACTGACTTCTACTTCAGTTTGACCTTATCATGGCTTGCTATTCTGCGGCTGGTGGCGGCCCCTTTGCTAGCTACGGCGAAACAGACGACGACGACAAGCTGAACTCCTTCCATGGGCCTGAGATTGAATCTCTGCTTGAAGAGATTGGGGATCTCCTGCGAAAGTCTAAAGTGCTCGCAAAACATCTTAAGATGGAACGACCAAGCAAGTCTCTCGGAGGAGCTGGCTTTGATCTTCGCCCCCCCCTCCCGCGAGCTGGCAGACACTATGGTCGATCTCTACTGTACCTCTTTCGAGTCGGTGTATCGGATCATTCACATGCCTTCGTTTCGTTCCGAGTATCAGAGATACTGGGACAACCCAGAGAGTGCCACGGCCAGTCAGTGTCTCCAGATCCTCCTGGTAATAAGCATAGGGTCAAGTCTACACGACCATGGGAATGCCACCATGGGTCTACGACAAAAGGTACAACAATGGGTTCATGCTGCTCAGGCATGGCTTTCCGGTCCGCTGGAAAAAGATCGCCTGGACGTCAGGGGGCTCCAGGTCTACTGCCTGGTGATCCTTGCACGACAGATCTTCTCAATTAGCGGCGACCTAGTTTGGGTGTCGATGGGGTCGGTAATTCGTATGGCCATGCAGATAGGGCTTCATCACGATCCCAAACACCTCCCGGCGATGTCGTTACTACAGGCTGAACTCCGAAGGCGGTTATGGGCTACTGTGCTCGAGATGGCAATACAGTCGTCCCTAGACTCGGCGATGCCGCCCATAATCTCCTTAGACCATTTTGATACCGAGGCACCTTCAAACTACAACGACGATGAGATTGATGAGTCGACTATCGAGCTGGTGCCCCATCCGAGAAGCACCTACACTACTTCCTCAATACAGCTTATCCTTCTCGACTCGATACCGACACGCCTGCGCATTCTCCAGCTACTTAGCAGCCTTAAAGCAGATTTATCTTACCAGGACGCGCTTTCACTGAGCTCGGAAGTGACTGAGTCATATTACGCATACAGGAAATTCAGCCAAGAGAACATCAACTCTGGTATGACCCCATTTCACAGGAATCTGGTCGATCTTTTCGTACGCCGATTTCTAATTCCCCTACACTGTTTATTTGCCAGCAAGGCGCAGGCAAACCCATTGTTCTACTATTCTCTCAAAGTTAACCTAGACGTTGCTATGGCCATCGTCTCTCCCGAACCAGACGACGGCTTCTCACGAATCATGGCTACCGGAGGGGGCCTGTTTCGCGAGGGTTTCTGGTATGCAACATCTGTTATCGGCCGCGAGATTCTTTCACAAGTCTCAGTGCAGTATCGAGAGGGGACGCTCTATCGCAATGCCCAGCACCGAGAGCTTCTCGAGCAAGCCGTGAGGGATATGATCTCTTTGGCGGTGGCGAGGATGCACCAAGGCGACACCAATGTCAAGATTCACATGTTTCTGAGTATGATATTGGCACAAGCCGAAGCTACGGAAAAAGGTGTGCCATGTGAGCTTATGATTGCACAAGGAGCAAGGGATAGCCTTCGGTTATGTCATGATCTGCTGCAGACTCAAGCCGGCACTGAGCCCGTGCCGTATTACGACGACGCGGGCGTCCACTTCCTCACTTTTGGATGGAGTGCCGGAAAACTCGCTTTGGGGCTTTGACCTGGAATCCTTCCTGCCTGATCTGGGGCTTTCGTAGCCTACTAGGCATTCGGTTATGCTGTTATTATCTCATAGTTGAGCAGGAGGCCTATAGTAGGTCCAAGGGTGGGAACATCAGTAGCATACAGCCAGACCGAGTAATGCGGGACGAAATTATAAATAGAACTTAAATTAGACTAAAGTATCGTTCTTTGTGATTTTTACACATGTTCTTTTTTTATGCGCATATAGGATCGGTTAGGTCCGTTACTATGTGGGTTTGTTACACCCACTCTGCTTACAGCCGCTTTAAGACCCCTGAGGCTTACGTCCGTTACTATGTAGGTTTGTTACAGCCGCTCTAAGACCCTGAGGCTTACGTCCGTCGCATACATCCGTTGGCGAGCGTATAAAGAGCACCACATCGGTAAGGCGTCTCATGATTGATGGTATTAAGATTCAAAGAAACAAATTTTCAAATGAGAAGAAATTGGTTGTCTCATCCACCGCCCCTGCTCATTGCTCTTCCGCAATGCCTCTGAAAATTCTCATCAACGGTGCTGGCATCGCCGGCACTGCCCTCGCCAACTTCCTCGTGCGGTCCAAACAAGGTCACGACATCACTATAGTCGAGAGAGCATCCAAGTTCCGTACCGGTGGAACCCAGCTTGATTTGAAGTCATATGGTGCCCCGCTGATGAAGAGGCTGGGACTGATCGATGCGGTCCGAGCAAAAAGCATACACGAGACAGCTTTGACTTTCGTTGACACGAAAGGCAGAGAGTGGGCGAGATTCAACGTCAACGAAACCGGTAAAGCCTACAAAGGTGTGACGAGCGAATATGAGATCATGAGGGCGGACCTGGTAGCGGTGTTATATGAAGGGAGCAAAGCGATCGTTACAAAAACCTCAGGAAAGGAGTTGCAGAGGCTGCGGTACCTTTTCGGAAAGCATGCGATTGAGCTTACGCAGCTTGACTCCAAAGTCAACGTCGTATTCTCAGACGGCACTTCAGACGACTACGATCTTGTTGTCGGTGCGGATGGCCAGAACTCCCTGACCCGGCATTTGCTATGGGAGCCCAAGAAGGACTGCGATTCCACGCTCAAATATACGGGCTACTCGGTCGCATACTTCCATATGCCAAAATCAGAGGAAGAGCTCAACAGTACTTTGTTAAAAAGCTGTCTTCTACCAGGGCTCAAAGTGCTGTCGCTTCGCTGCGCGCACAAGGACTTTACACAAGCCATGCTTACGATATCCACTACCGAGGAGTTAAAGGAGATGGCTGAACAGCCAGTTGAGAAACAGAAAGACCTATGGGAAACGTTATATAAGGATTTCGGATGGGAAAGCAAACGAGTACTTGCCGAGATGCGGACTACTGATGACTTCTACACGACCTCGGTTACTCGGGTCAAAGTGGACACATTGTCCAAAGGGCGAGTTGTTCTGCTGGGCGATGCCGGATACTGCCCGAGTGTTTTAACTGGGCTTGGAACCACGGCATCACTCGTTGGAGCATACGTGCTTGCGGGCGAACTCGCGAGACATGGAGACAACGTCGGCGCAGCGCTAGAATCTTATGAAACGGTGCTACGACCTTACGTGGAAAAGGTTCAGCAACTTCCTCCCATGAATCTCGCTATCTTTCGTTCCAAGCTTGGGTTGAATTTATCTTACTTTGCTCTGGCAATTCTGTCGAAGCTTAAGATAGATAGCCTGGTCAAGGCGCTGATGAAGGATGAGAAGGAAACCTGGCAGCTCCCACAATATCCGGAGCTGGAATTAGAGGAATGAGCATTGCATTTACCGCCGATATTCAGCTTTGTCGCGATACCAGCCCCAATGTGTTTGTACCATTTTTCATCTTATCTGAAATGTACAACATCTCATCACTCCATCTAAGCTGTCGTGGACCTTGCTACACCTGTGACTAGAGCTGCTTAGACGGGTACATGAGGGTGCTCGGCCTTACTTATCGTATTCTTTTAGGTTGTGAGGGTCATCATACGTTAAATGATACGGTAACTTACATGAAACTGCCTTGGCGCCTCTATACGCCGGTGCCAAAGCAGCTAACAATAACAAGTGCGCCTCCGCAATCCGATGGGCCGGATTCAGATAATCCATCTACGGAACCTCAATGGACACACTCATCCAAAAGGGCTGTGGAAATGTCCGTATCTCGTCCATGGTATCATTCAGGCTTCGTATTATCCGCCGACTCAGTCGCGGCTTATGGGTGATTTCTTGTTAATGAGACCGATCCTTATTTCTTGTGGCAGTATGACTCGGAGTATCCTTGCCCTGCTGGCTGTTCAAGGACGACTAGTAGCTCTAGTTGCACAACTTCCTCTATTTGGTATTTAATATTGTATATCGTGGGCTGTCTTTACGTTACATGCACATGAAGCCAACAACTGGATTCAATCAGAATTTATTTCGCCGAGTTATAATTTGAAGTCTTCTCCGACCTGCATTTCCCCCAAGCAACACTAGTTTCCGGTAAAAAAAGGTCCGCTATTCAGTCACTGCGCCCATTGAGCTGTTGGGCGAATCCCTTGGTATCATCAATAGTAGCCTGTCCACTCTGAATGAGGGATCTCAGTTCATTCGCCAGTGAAGGTGCCCGCTCCGCCTCTGGTATTTCTCCTTCATCGACTACCACGGCGTGGAAGTCAAGCACTATGCCTTCTATCTGGTTATCGATTTTTTCTTGTAGTGATTTGAGGCTTTCGGTCATGACTCCACCGTAGACATTCTTGGCATGTGTAGAGTATTTGGAAAATAACCTGGAGTTTCTCAAGTGGCTTTCCATGTGACTCTTTCGCCGTTTGTCACAACCTGGTCCTGATATACGGTTAATGACTAAAGATGATGTTGCCAACTAAAATTTTCGCGTACCTCCCTCACTGTTACAATGATTATAACATGGCTCCATGAGCATCGAGATAAATGAATCAGTGTGATGCTCTAGCATGTCACGCTTGGTAATTCTGAGAGATTGTTAGACCCGTTGCTTCACTCTATGTTCAGGTGAGGTTTGCCATACTGTGTCTTTAGGATGAGGTTTCTCATCTCATTCTTGATGTGTGTATTGATATTCTCTCGTCTATGTCCCATGTTGACAATGATGTTTTGCAGCGCGTGGGGTGCAAGATGCTGATGCTCTGTAAATATGCAGGATATTAGAACGAAACATTAAAAAATGAGTATTTTCAAAAGAGAATAACGACTTGCCTCGGATCTTGAAACGTAGTAGTTGAAACGACAGGTCAACCCCGTCAGTCAAAATTTCAATTCCTGATTCCAGCCAATCCATTATGTCTTCCCATGCGGGATCCAATGCTTCACGAGTTCGCTGCATGAATTGCTCATTCCAGGGCCGCTCATTTCGTTGTGCTTCCGTGCTCCACGTACCATAGTGTCGACAGAATGCAGCGTATGAACTGACGTGCCACTAAAAGATCATTCAGTAATGTGCGACATATTCTTCAAAATATCTGCCAAAAGGTGAGAATTACCTTTACCCAGCGCTGACTGATGTTGAGGCTTTCTTGTTTCCACTGAGCTCGAGACGTATCTGTTTTATGAAGATTTCAGAGCTAGCGAAGGTAAGGCGAGGTGATTTTGCTTACCGATACAGAAGATAATAGAATTGTTAAAACGCTCTCTTAAGTCTCGAAACATGCAAGCTACATGGTCTTCCGACGATTGGAAATCCTGTTAAATATCAGAAAAAGAAGCCCGAGCCATTCAAAGCATTCTTGTTTCTAGGCATACCCGACGAAGAGCATCTTGAGAATCACTTAAAACACGGCGAAGTTGGGCAGCCTTTTCTGCAGTGACTGGGTCTGTACCGGAAAGTGCCCATTGACGAATTGAGCCCACCATTGCCGGGACTTCATCTTCTAGGAACGCTGTTGTTGCGCGCATTTGAGCTTCAGCTGGGACTAACTGGCAATAGCGGCGCAGCTCTCGTATACCAGTCAGCTCGAGATACCTATCTGCCTGGGTTGGGTCGCTGTTCCGATGCTCAGAGTATAGTGTGTTGCTGACACAGAATACCTGGATGTCGTCATATTTCCTGCGAAGCTCGCGTGAAACGTTGAGGTTTCGCCGGTTGATGAGGAAGCGCTTAATGCTTCGTTACAAGTTAGTGTTAAAGTTGGTATAATTGAGGACCAAGGCATTGACTTACTCAAAGCCTAATTCGTCTACCTGGTCACTGTCCTGGAGTCAACATGGGTCATGGCAATGAGGGAAAGCGATAGTCACCTGAGTTCCGACTCCTTCAGTGACCATTGGAGCCGATCATCTCCCTGTGATTTTATTCTTTGCGACTTAGCCTTCATCTTTTGGGCATTGACCTTCTCGAGGTCTTTGTTCATTTCCCGGATGCGTCGGCCGTCTGGCCCTTGCTCACGGGAGACCTCTTCTGGTGAAACATCCTATAGATACAGTCAGAAGGACTTGTGCAGAAATAAATGGGTGAGCTTAGAGAAACTATACACACCTCTGAGTTTGTGCAAATAATTCTTCGAGGCTGATTCTGTCTACATCTTCTCATGATGTCACCAACAGATTCGTCAGTCCCAGCTCGAGAGATGTTTGCCACAATAAAAACCTCATCGCATTGATGGGCAAGGTATCTCTCAGTTGCTCGCACTCTTGCAAAATTGAGATCTCGGAGTCCTATAACGTATTAGTCAAGGTCAATGTGTGAACCTCTATATAGTTTCAACATATACCAGGCAGATCAGTCAAAACCAATCCAGTCTTTAAGATAGGTGAACTGAGATATACCCTGCAAAAGCATCAGATCAAAGCTAGTTATAGAAGACAATGCTCAGCGAACCTAATCAACTTGATAAAAGGCCATAATGCAGGGCCACCGCCCTCCGGATTATCAGCAGCAAGATGGTCGAGGATAGATTTACATTCTTCAACGTCACCGGCAATGACTGAATATTCGAGCGCATCAGACCCGCCTTGTCGGTTTATTAAGCCGGCGTATGCCCAGCCTTCCAGCAGCGCAAGGATCTCAGAGTGCGCACCCTCAGACTCATTTGATAAGAACTCAATTGTAAGTCTTGGCTGAGTCTTGAAAAGCGAGTGAAGTGTTTCCCATGATTTAACAGCTGCATCATGGCATTTTCGTTGTTCCTCGATTGTCTGAAGCTCCCTGTAGATGGAACTAACGTAGTATTTTCGGAAGTCTAGTAGGAGATGCTCAAGTAAGTTTCTCCTTTCCTCTCTGTTCATGAACTCTGCTTCGATGCTAAATGGACCGGTATGGTCTTGATTAGTGTGACGGAATTCCGTCACCACACAGGTACAGGCAGATCCCTCTCTGCTCTGAAATTAGGTGTCAGTGAAAGGAATTTCAGGATAAACGGAGAACCAAAATGAGAGCATTCACATACGGATCGTGCTATCTTCTGGTCAAGTAGTGAGTTGATCAGCGAACTCTTGCCTGTATCAACATTAGAGACGGAACCCAAATATGAGAATGCCCACAAAATTTCCATACCAACTCCAGAGTCTCCAATAAAGCCCACAGTACGTGTGACCGGATACTGGAATCTGCTCATCTTTTCAGTACGCTTATACAGAGTGTACAAGCTTGTCGATTGATCTTGTGTCAATTCCGAAAGACGCATTGCGCTGGCGAGACTGCCCAGGTGGCCCTTAACGGCTTTCAGTCCATCCTGAAGCCTATTATTGTAGATTGGGGCTGGGGGAAGAGTTTCGTCCCGGATATCATTGGATATCATCTCGTTCTCGTCCTCATTCTCATGAGATGAAGTAACCGTTGAGGTACTAGCACTACCTGCTGGAAAGGCTCCGGGAACTTGTATGTCTTCGGTATGCACAGAAGCAGCTACAGATTGTAGGCTTGAGCTACTCAATCCCCTACCGACTTGGCTGGTACTTGATGACCGAGAGGCGTTTTCCCCGGTACTTCGCCTCGGACGGCAAGGGTGTATGCGTCTCGGCCTTGGACTTGGGGAGGCATTGTGTTGATCAGCATACGTGGATGGCGACCGACCGGGACTCAATCGTGAATTTGGTGAGCTTCGTCGAGGGGTAGTGATCGATGACGTTTGATCTGGTTGCAGATTTTGAAAGATACTTATCGGTGGTTGAGCTATGGGCAATGTTCTGGGTACGCTCAAGGCTTGCCGAATTGGCAAACCTCTCTCACTGCCACTGCCATCTTGAGACGAGGTGGGTGTGAGTATTCTTCCCGTCTCAGAAGCAGTGGAGAAGGTGCCTCCCGATGAAGGGATACTCATTTTAATTGAAATCGGTTGAGTCTCTTGTCCACTACGTTCTTGGGATCCTGCGGTCTATTAAGTGAAATCTTTGTGATAAGGCTAGCATCCCCTGGCGCCTATTTCCAGCATTTGTAACACTGATGCCCCGCCCCCTCCCCCACCTTCATGTACGATGCTGCGCCCTCGGTTGGCGCTGTTTTAGTCGCGGATCACAATATTTGGCTACGTTAGGCGTAGGGCATCACTTAAACTTGGGCCCTTAAGATAATCAAAACAGACAGCCGTATTTATTTTGTTAATTTCGCGTAGCGAACAGATGCTATAACCAGTTCCATAGATTTGTAGGTCCCTTGGGCCACTTTTAGCCCCCACAAGTTGGCTCGCGCGCGCATTTCATCCCTGTAACAAAAGGCCGCGAACTCTTGAAGTGCATTGTTAGTAACCAATGGATCCCATAAAACTTGAAACGTAAGGTATCTTGGCTGTTGACCCACCAATCAGGGAGCAAACGGCTGCTGATCCCAAGGTAACGTCATTGGAAATGGGAGTTTTCAGTCCAGTGGGTTACCTCAAATACACATTCATAGCCCCACTATGGCAACGCTAAGCTATATGCTTGTAGACATTGTTTCCTTTTGGAGGCAATATAGATTTATGATTGGCCGTGTTGTATTTTAAATCCTAGGCGATTTCAACCTGGCCCATTACCGAGTCTTTGAGAAAGAAAACGAGTGTGTCTAGGGGGTAATTTGTTTTCAAATACCCATGTGCTTTCGCTCAATGTGTTTAGACTTAGCTACCGTAATACTGGTTCTGTCCTCCTTTTGATGATCCAAAGAAGCAAAGCTACAGTTTTGAGCCGCGGGATGGCCAGGAACACCCGGAATGCTGCTCCAAGAACCGAACTCAATAATAGTGGAGCAAAGTTGGGATGATCGTTACGAACGAAGCTAAGGGTCGAATAATTTCGGAACAGTCGGAAGGTGGACCCTTGCTCTGCTAAAGCTGATATGGAAATAGTCAGATAAGGAGTCTCGTCTTAGTTTCTGGTCAAATGGGGTTCTATCATTTCATTCATAGGATCACCTGGGTGCGATATGGCGAAAGGTCGACTACGGGGAACTTTCAGTGACGCCCAGAGCCTATATTATGGTGATCGGTCATATACAGTACGCGTCAGGGAATGGCCTAAAGGAAGAGACATCTTATAGTGTTCTATTTCCTGGAAAATTTAATTGGTGTCGAAACGAGAATCGCATGAACCCGTGGATTCACCTCGCCGTTTGAAATTTAAAAAAAAAAACGAAACCCTCAAATGATTACAGCTAAAATATCAATATCGTAAACCTTTAAACATCCCCAAAACGCAACCGGTGATATTCTGGTTCGTGCCGTCTTAATCATCGCACAATTTGACTGTGAGATCTTGACGGTATGTTCAGAAGCCACTTGCTTCCACAGGTTCAGAACCCTTTCCTCAGGCTGGAATCCGAGACGGTCAGACCACGATGCGCATATATCGCCTTCCGTGGAATATCTGAACCGATGATGGACTCTTCCCGACTCTGTTTCCATACGCTGGTCCTCCAATTCAGGCATATATAATGCTGCCTAGCCCACAGCCATATATAGCTCATTGAAGAGACCCGGTACACTGACTTCTCGGAAGGGCTTGCCGCTGCGATCTTCGATTACTGTTCTCACGTATTCCGGAAATTCATCCTGTGGATCTGAATCCGTGGACTTATATTGATCGTCCTCATCGCGATTAGAACGGTCAACAAAGATCCATTTCCCGGACGGGGTTGAGGGAATGTATTCAATGTCGATGGTTTTCAGATCAGGCCATGATGGATGGTTATCGTTTGATTCCAGTGGCCAGAAAAGTTCATTTCCAAATGTCATTCCGTAGATACTGATTGTCTCTAATTGTTGAGAGAACTTATGTAGTTGCGAGCTGAGAGAATCCACCCCTTGGTCTGTGATATAATCTGGGGTGAAGTTGTGATCCCTAGGTGGTTCATGATTAAAATGAAAGTTGAAGGTTTTTATGCTGGGCGGTAAAAGGTGATTGCCTGCGCTCATTCTCAGATTCTGTCTCGAAATGGGCTCTGGGTAGCTTCATCGTAAGGCTCAAGCTCTACGATCAATTCGATATCCCGAATATATGATTGGCGTCATGGATCTTTTGTCAATCTTTCAAATTGGTCTAAATTCAAGGCCCACGCTATCCTAATTGGGCTAATGTATATAAATTATACTAAAATTTCATAAAATTTCATTATTATGCAAAAAGCACTACTGTATTAGAGATACTCACGTGAGGTAAGGTTGATAAGCCTACCCTTGAGTCTTTAAAAAAGGGGTTTCCCTCTCCATTGCAGGGTAAACGAGAATTTGATTCGGATGTCTCTGTACTTGGTGTGCCTCTGAGAACAGCCTATCTCTGCCCTGTGTAGAACGGTCCATGATACATGCGCCCCGTTTGGGACGCCTTGACAGGAGGACATATACGTATGCATCCATAGCACAGAGTTTGCAAATGGAGAATCATTGCCGTGAATAGCCCTTAGCATGACCATATCGCCGGATTCTTCTGTCAAAATCCAGTCGAGCCCACCACCAGCCCACTACTGCGATCAGCCCTAGGATGAAATCATAGAGGGACCAATGGCGTGGGCTGGGCCCACGCATGTTATTCAAAAGGAGCGAGCTTTGAAAGTCCACTGTGATGTACGTGTGCCCTTTCTCCAGGGCCTTGATAATCTTCCTCGCAATCTCTGACGCGGCTGGCACTTTGCGTATCAGCTCGGCCTCCGGCATATTAGTTCCCTCGAGGGACTTTAACAACTCCGGTTTTGTTCGTTACTCTTCCATCAGTGCTTCCGAGACGAAGGAACCAGGGAAACTACAGTGCACGTGGTACATGTCATCGCCATACAGTAACAGTTCCTGACGCAGGGTGTCGGCCAAGACACGGATAGCCACTTTCGCGGGTGTATAGGCGATATATCCCGGCAGCCCAACGAAGGCGGCCGTCGAGGATGTGAAAACAACGAGGAAAGCGGAGGGTGTAATAATTCATCTCCAGGCATGAGGTGATAGTGCTGGGTGCGATCTCGGCGAGAAACCCACAGTGTTGGGGAGCGCCCCTGCCGAGCAGATGACGATGTCCGGGACCCTGCCGACGCTTCTTAATGTCGCATCCACCTACGTACGAACGATTCCTTACTAGCCCACCCCCATACAGTGACGCTGGGTTCCTTACGTTATCGGCCTTGATGAGGTCGACGCTGATGGCGTCCACCGTTTGTGAGGTGGATTTCCGAGCTGTCAGGACCTCCTGGTGGGCAGCCTCAAGAGTAGGCTTGTGTCTGGCCAAAATAAGAATATTGGCTCCTGTGCATGATGGCGCCTATATTAGTCGTGTTTCTACATTGTCAATGGCTGCTTACCTACCCTTGGCTGCCAGCTGCAACGCCATGGCCATGTCCTTTCCTAACCCTCGGGAACCTCCCCCGACTACTACCAGCTTTTTCACTCCATCAATTCCTCTTGGACCATCACTAGTTGAAAGGATATGCTCACCTTGCCATCTACATTGAATTTTGATCTTGCAAGCATACTGTCTTTTGCTCATTGCCCATGGCAAAACAAGGCTGGTCTGCAGCTCTTTGCTGTCTTGGGCGCTATTTAAGTGTTCGAGACGGACGGCTGGCCGCCTAATCCCACCCCGCCCTAGGCCAGAATAGGTTTAACATGCCTCGCGTTTTGTGGTGAAGCGGTGCATCTCGGAGGTACATGTGAGGTCTAAATGCAGAACCAGTAGAATAGGATCTAGAATGTTGGGGCCAGTGGGGCAGTACATGCGGATGTATTGGCAATCTACGCTGGGTGCAATTGAAAGGCCAGAAAAAAACATATTCATGATGAATAGGATGTCGATTAATATCTATGTGAAACTTGGGGATTTTTGTGGGAAAAATACAGCCTATTTTACCACTAGACCATAGCAAAAACCTCGGTTCCTGTTTAGGGCCCAGGGGGGCCATATCCCAGTCTGACAATTTTCTCTAGAGACGGACCCCCAAAGTTACTCCTCTTGGGCGGTCCACACAGAACTTGCCATATCAATGAGGTTCTGTTTTTCTAGTCGAATTTCGGTCTCTTTGGGAATTTCGGGGGATCGTTGGAGCATGTAATTGAAGGGGATGGTAATCGGGCACTGAGAGACTGTAACTTTGGTGCTAGTCTCTTCGATCACACATGATTGTGTGACCTGGGGACGTTGAGTAGGTGAGTCCCATTCGTAGGTATCGAGTGTGATCCTAGGGTTTGTACGGTCGACCTTGATAGTGATGGCCATGTTTACCTGACCCTTAACGGGGTCCACCCACATTCTGGCATCGTTGCGCAACTTTGTTGTAGTTTCAGAAACTCCAACTTCAACAACTACCCCAGGTCGTTTAGGGCCACCGGAACGCCGAATGGGGCCCCAGCCCCAATCTGGCCGCTTCACGTTCCCGTTGCTAACGTCGACATCCACATTTCCATAAATTTGGACTGCTCGATAAAGATCCATCCGCTGCAAAATTGCCATGATTTCAGCGTTCAATGCCCCGATAACTTGCGCGTGTTCAGTGGTTGTCATTCTGACAATCAGGGTTTGTTGAGCTGCGTGGTAAGAGAGATGAAGACCAGAGCTGGTCTCACAGAGTAAAAAGTCCTGCTTAAAGGAGGAGGGACCAATGGCAATAACAAAGTATTCGGATAATTCGAGGGAATTGCGGTCGATCGATTTAGACTGGAGACAGCTCAATGCGCGTTGAAGACGGTCGAATTCAAATTTGAGGATTCGATCGAATTGCTCTTTCCCTTCATATGGGTACCTATTCGTGGAAGGAGGCAGGCCGTCCAGAAAGCACTCCACCTGGTTTCCATGCCGGACGGGGGATTTAGATTCGGTCATGATTGAGGCTGTTCTTTTCTTTTCTTTTTTTCTTCTCTATTATAAGTAGAGTGTCTAGGATGTAAATAGAGAGAGAAAGATTCATGAGGATGCGAAAAAAAGCTGTGATTGAGTTGAGTTACTTCATAATGACTGTCCTTAGCCTATATATACCTCTAAGTATCTTGACGGCCCCACTATAGATGACGTTACTTGTGCCTCTGAAGTACATGGGCAGCTTGTTGATTTATTTCATTCAATATAACTCCTTCATGCAAAACAAAGCCAAGTAGCGAATCACTATGGCCATAACTACTGTTAGATACTCAACTAACCACTCGCCAGATTCCCTCCACCCTCAAGATGGCAACGTGTGGGCCGTGAAGTCCAACCTAACCCAGCCACTATCCCAGGTCCGATGAGTCTAGCAGTCTCTGTGCAACCGCTGGTGAAAATAAGGGGCGCTCGTCCCCGAGGCCGGATGCAGGGGGGTAATTGGACTTTTGTTCCTAGAAGCTCAGCGAGGACAAAGAGGGCAAATTGGTAGGATTGGCCTGTCTTGGAGATCTAACGGATACTCTTGATGTATACAATTTGTACGCTGTAACGACTCGTCTAGACTTGATTCAATATCTTGCTTCGGAATCTTAAGGAGCTCCGTTTAGTATATGTAGCTAACCCTAAGCTCAGCTTGGTTTTTTTGACCGTTAACAACTACCTCTCTTTCTGTGCCTACATAGTATTAAGATATTATTTGAGAATACGTATTGCTTTACTGGTAGCTCGAGCCGTGGTGCACATCTCAAGTGCCAGACTACCACGCAAGAACCCATCTTATCTACCCCATTTGACTATCCAACCCAGAATAAGGGCTTTTGGTGTTAAACATGTCTATCATATTGGTCTTCCATAACTATGCATATATGCTATCATCAGATGTACGTCAAGTGAGAAGGCAGAACAGTATCTGCCTCACTCCCAAGGCTTCTAGATCTACCAGTAACCAGGGAAAAGCCAGTCCAGCTTCTCCTTAGCCTCGGGCTTCCAGTTAGCCTGAGGGGTGCTGATACCGAACTTAATACCGCCAGCCAGGTGCTTAGCCTGGACAAGCTCGGTGTGCTCCTCACTAGCCAGGGCATCAAGGACAGCCGTGATGAAACGGCGAGCGTTGTCAGCGTTGGACTTCATGTTGCCCATAACCATCTCGACGGTGACGTCGGCGGTGGCCTCGTGCCAGCAGTCATAGTCCGTGGACATGCAGATCATCTGGTAGGCGATCTCGGCCTCGCGGGCCAGCTTGCCCTCAGGGAGGACGGACATGTTGATGACGCTGCCGCCCCATGAGCGGTACATCTTGCTCTCGGCGCGAGTGGAGAACTGGGGGCCCTCTAGAGGATGAAAAAGACATGATTAGCGACGTTTGGTGGTGAAAATGGGTTAGAGATTTACATACCCATGCAGATCAGAGTACCACGGTCGTGCAGGACGACACCATCTCCCTCGAGGCTGTGTCCGCACTCGCGCACCACCTTGGCGATACCCTCATCGAAGGGATCACCGAAGGGGACGTGAGCGACAATGCCACCCTCGAAGAAAGTCCACGGGCGCACGCCCTTGGTGCGGTCAATGACCTGGTCCGGGATGACAAAGTCGCGGGGCTTGATTTCCTCCTGCAGACTGCCGACAGCGGAGAAAGCAATAATGCTGCGGACACCGATGGAGCGCAGGGCGGCGATGTTGGCACGAGCGGGAACCTCATGAGGAGCAATCTGGTGGTGCAAGCCGTGGCGGCTCAAGAAGGCGATGGCGACAACCTTGTTGTTGTGCTTACACTCGTGGTGCAGAATAGTGATGGGCGAGGAAGGAACGCCCCAGGGGGTTGTGATATTCAGCGAGGCCACCTGGGTGAAGCCGGGCAACTCGCGCAGACCGGTGCCGCCGATGACAGCAATTGGGACGGACCCTGTCAGATTCACTATCGTCAGCTTTCTATCGAAGTGGGGGTATGAGGGGTAGTAATGTGAGAGGCAGAAGTACACGTACCGTCATATGTGGTAGGGAGAGAAGCCATTCTGCGAGCGAGTTGTTTTGCGGACTCAATTCGACGAAATGGTTTCGATATAGAAGAGAATGAACGTAAGCCTAAGATCCGGCGCATCTTGCGCCATATTCAAATCTCTGAGGGCTGCGGCCAACCTGCGCTTCTCCGATTGGTTGTCGATTGACCCACGTGCAGTAGGTTCCTGAGGCCGCCACTTGCCTTTTTGGGTGATCTATAAAACGGTAACATAAATAACTACATCTACCTCTTACCTCTACATGTCTATCAGGGTGGTAGTTGATCATCGGGTAGCAACATCTTGAAACTACTATTCTGTGTAGCTGGATACATGTACAACGTTGATAAAATAAATACAATCTGGGGGTGACACAAAGAGTCCTGTGATACATTCGAACCAATCTAAGCTGGCAACCACTCATAATGATGAGGCCCCTTGTGAACTGGTCCTGGATCCTCACCTGGAATACCAGGCTTGTTATAGCTGTGTGCACCGAAGTAATCCATCTGCGCCTCCATGAACTTGGTCGGCAGTCCCAATCCACCTTCATACTTGAGATATTCTAGAGTAGCCGAGAGAGCCGGAATATATTGATCAAACATAGTCCCCTCCATGACAACCTGTTTGAGACTGTGGAAGTTCTGGCGCAACTCATGCGCGACCGCATCTACAAACTTGGTGTTCGTCACCTCATTGTGGGCTGCAAGCGGCGGCTGTAGTAGATCCGCGATGTGCTCGGACTTAATGATACATCCCGCTCGCCAAATCTGAAGACAGTCGCCCAAGTTGACATTCCAGCCTTCGTCAATTGAAGCTCGGGAAATCAGCTCCAGGCCCTGACAGAAAGATGCCAGGAACGAGCAGTACACAGCTTGTCGTAGGTTCTCGATGATCACTGCATGGTCCCGGGTTCCCTCGATCGGTTTCGGCATGGGCATCTCTAGCTTCTTCGCAACACGCGCTCTCTCTATGCGGTTTCCACTTGAGATTCGCATGTAATGGGCGGCAGCTAACGTCGGACAAGAGACATGTCGGGCGGCAGACTCCATGAGACACCAGAGTGGAGTTCCTTCAGTGTCATCGTCGTCCTGAACCACCTTGTCAAGCACATCGTCGAGTACATATCCATCATCCCGACTAGCTCCCTCGCCCTTTTGGTCACCTTTTGGTGTTCTCTTTGTGTGTAACATAGCGGCACCGATGTTAATCAAGTAGTTACCCCGCAGCTCGCCAGACTCATTCCATTTAGCGAAGACATCTCCGATTTTGCCATGCTCCATGGCCAGTCCTTCATGCATGTATTGCCATGTCTCAGCAAGAACAGAAAGCATTCCACCCTCGATACCATTATGGACCATCTTGATGTAGTGTCCCGATCCAGCAGGACCCATACGCTTCACGCATGGAACCCCAGATTTGGGATCATGCGCCGCATACGACTCCAAGAATGGCATAACACGCTCGATGGCTTCGGCATCCCCACCAGGAGAGAGACTAGGTCCCCGTCGTGCAGACTGATACCCACCCGAGACGCCCATTCCGATCCAGGCAACACCGATGGCGGCACACTCTTTCTGGCGCCGCTCAGTGTTCCGGTAGTTCTCGTTTCCACCGTCGAGGATGATATCGCCCTCTTTGAGATCAGGTTTCAGCATGCGGAGTACTTCGTCTGCGGGCTCGCCGTGCGTGATGGAAAACATGAATAGTTTCCGGTCAGACTTGCCCTCTAGGCTTTTGGAGAATTTGTTGATGTCGTAGAATCCTTCGACTCGGCCTGTGATGCTCTTGTCGTCTCTTGCGTAGTGCAGCACTTCATCAACGTTCTTCTTTTCTATATCCCAGACCGAGACTTGGAGGCCGAGCTCAGCGAAGCGGAGGGTCATCATAGAGCCCATGTTTCCGGCTCCGACGACGCCGATGCTTTTGATTGGTGGCGGCATTGTGAATTGGTCTTGGTTCTGCAAGACTAGCTCTTTTAGGGGTCACGATTTAAAGTTCAAGTGCAAAATATGCGATATTCGCATAAAGATGTCTTGAGATGACTTTCGCTCTTCTTCAACGAGAAGCTTGTGGCGATCGGATCAGTGATCCGGGGAATTGTCAATATGTAATCAGACACGCCACGAACCAGTCAACAGAGTACGCCTCCTCTTGTATAGATAGTAAGTTTGGGAAGAAGAGGAAAGTGAGGCAAAATTGATTGATGTAGAGTATGAAAGACGGATCGTGGCCAAGCTCGATATGGACTGATATGATACACCTATGACGACACAGTCCCTGACCAAGAGCAGAATCCAAAATTACATCACGATGGACACATAATGAAGAAGCAATGGGCGAATCAAAAGCAAATGAGGCAAATATATCTCCCATGGTACCAAGCACGGCAATCTTTCATAGAAGCTCTCTCCCCATCGTCCAGTGAGCTGTGCCTGTTTGCCGATACGAACAGCCCCCAACAAGAGCACGATCCATCATACCATTTTTGCTTGACATATTCTTAGGAAAAGGAACGAACAATGTCAATCCCCCACTCAAGCCTCCAAAAGATCCCCCTCTCATACGCTTCCTGCTCAATCGGCTGCAGCCCAAACCACACACTCCCGCGCCGCCTTGAAGCAATCGCCGAGGCTGGCTTCAGCGCAATCGAGCTCTCCTTCCCGGACATCTTAGAGTATGGCGCACAAATCACCGGCAATCCAATCGCGCCAGACAACTACGTTGCGATTATGCCTGTGGCAGAGGAGATCCGCAAACTATGCGAAGAAAACGGGTTGAAAATCATGATGCTGCAGCCATTCTCAAACTTCGAAGGCTGGGTTAAGGGCTCTGTGGATCGCGAAGAGGCATATGCTAGAGCGATAGGCTGGATGGAGGTTATGAATGTTGTGGGCACGGATTTGTTGCAGGTATGACAGTGATATATATATCTTGAGCACCATAAAACTCAGGGGACCAATAAAATAATAATATATCTAGGTTGGAGCAACAGACACACCGGAACCCTTGATCAAAAAAGAACGCGATGTGATCATCTCCGACTTACGCGCTTTATCCGACATCCTCGCAAAACGTAACTACCGCCTCGCTTACGAGAACTGGTGCTGGTCGACCCATGCGCCCGGGTGGAAGGAAGTCTGGGAGATAGTGAAAGCTGTAGATCGCCCGAATTGCGGGTTGTGTTTGGACACGTTCCAGACTGCAGGCAATGAATGGGGTGATCCGACTACCGAGTCTGGTCTGATTGAATCAGTCTCGCAGTCCGAGGTACAGAAGCGATTTGAGGCGAGCATGGATGAGCTTGCGAACTCTATCCCCAGTGATAAGATCTATCTGCTGCAAATCTCGGATGCATATAAGGTGTCGCCGCCGTTGGAGGACAAGACCATAGGTGGGCTGAGGGCGAGGGGTCGCTGGAGTCATGATTATAGGCCTATGCCGTATGACGGCGGATATTTGCCTATTGAGGATGTTGCAAGGGCTGTGCTGAAAACGGGGTTCCGGGGTTGGTTGTCGATGGAGATTTTTGATAGTGGCCCGCAGGGAACTGGGAAGAAGTATGAGATGGGGTCTTTTGCGGCGAAGGCTATGGATAGTATGCAGAAGTTTTTGAAGAATTGTGCGACGGATTGAAGGGAACAAATTGCCTGTGAAATGTTTATAATGATATATCGTTTTTGAAGTTATAGCTGGTACATTTGGCATATTGTCTGGTTAGACTTGAAATAAATACATTTTGAGGATTGTTTGGAAATTCGTGGACACAATTTAAGAAAACGCCGGGGTGAGATGCAAGATTGACGCCAATGAGATCATAAAGCACGCAAGATCAACTCGAAGGTCAGGGATGGGGGAGCGTTATCCATTAGTTGGCGTTGCTGGGGTACGCAACGGTGTATGTGGGAACGTACTCCTCCTTGATGGAGCGCAAGCTGACGAAACGGGACATCAGGTTGGCACTGCCAGCCTTGTCGTTGGTACCGCTAGCACGGGCACCACCGAAGGGCTGCTGGCCGACAACAGCACCAGTGCTCTTGCAGTTGATGTAGAAGTTACCAGCGGCGTTGCGGAGAGCGTCATCGGCGACCTGGACAGCCGCACGATCCTGGGCAAAGATGGAGCCGGTCAGAGCGTAGGTGCTGGTGCTATCGATCTTGTCACAGATCTTGGTGAAGTCGGCGTCGGTGGCGTCGTTGTAGGCGTGAATGACCAGAACGGGACCGAAAAGCTCGCGGGACAGCAGAGGGTGGTCAGGGTTGGTGGTGCGGTAGACCGTAGGCTGGATGTACCATCCAGCGGAAGAGTCGTAAGTTCCACCGACGAGCAGCTCAAGCTCCGGGTCGTTCTTAGCCTCCTCGATGACACCGGACAGCTTGTTGAATGAGGCCTCGTGGATGACGGGACCGCAGAAGTTGGTGAATTCAGATGGCTCGCCAACGTTAATCTTCTGCACCTCAGCGACGACCTGCTGGGTGAAGTCCTCGGCGATCGAAGAGGCAATGTAGGCACGGGAGGTGGCACTGCACTTCTGGCCCTGGAACTCGAAAGCACCGCGCACGGTCTGGACCGCGGCGTTGCGGACATCTGCGGACTTGTGCACCAAGTGGAAGTTCTTGCCACCGGTCTCACCCACAATACGGGGGTAGCTGCGGTATTTACCGTCCGCCACGCCCTGTGAGATCTTACCGTAGAGCATACGGAAGACATCAGTGCTTCCGGTGAAGTGAAGAGCAGCGAAGTCGCGGCTCTCAAGGACGGTGCTGGTCACTTCCGCGGCGTCACCAGGAACGAACTGGATGACGTCCTTAGGGAGACCGGCCTCAAGCAGGATCTGGTGCACGAGCCAGTTGGAGGCAATCGCGGAAGGCGAGGGCTTCCAGACCACGACGTTACCCATCAGAGCGGGTGCACCAGCCAAGTTACCGCCGATTGCGGTGAAGTTGAAGGGGCTGATCGCGTAAACGAAGCCCTCAAGAGGGCGGTACTCAAGACGGTTCCACACACCGGTAGCGTTGTGAGCAGGTTGCTGGGCATAAAGCTCCTCGGCGTACTTCACGCCGAATCGGAAGAAGTCACATAGCTCAGCGGCGGAATCAATCTCAGCTTGCCACGCGTTCTTGCCCTGTCCGTGCATAGTCAAGGCCATAATGTCGTAGCGGTACTTGGTCGCAATAAGATCAGCGGCCTTGAGGAAGATGCTAGCACGCTCGGAGAAAGGAGTCTCGGCCCAGGACTTGCGAGCTGCGAGAGCCGAATCAATGGCGGACTGAACATCGGCCTTTGATGCGTTGGAATAAGTTGCCACAGGAGCATGGGTTGCGGGGTTAGACTGGGTGAAGGTTTCATATCCCTTGAGCTGTTTGATTGAGTGTTAGAAATTGTTGTTTCAGTATATATGTTGCTCCTGAATGCTTACCTCCTTGCCCGCAACAACCAGAGGCACGTTCAAAGGAGCCTTCTGCGTGTACTTAGCCAAAGCCTCCTCGAGGCCCTTGCGATCCGGGGTTCCAGGAATATAGTGTTTCTTAAGGTCCAAAATTAGCCTGAATGATGAAACAATCTTAATTCCAATACCGAACTTACATTAGGTTCATTGTTAATCTGGGGCACCTTGAAAGTGGCGTAAGTGCCCAAGGAGCGTGTGCTGGAGCTCGGAATGCGACATGCGAGGCGCGAAATGGGCGCGCGGGCGCGCAGAACAGAGGACATCATTATGATAGTTTGAAACGAATATAATGAATCAACTATTCCAAGTATTGCAAAGGGAAGATTTGGAGAAGAAGTAGACGCGGGGAAGAATGGTGAAAATGGCCGGCTACTACCGGTCAGGGAAGCTCATAGCTGCACTGTACAACGCCTGGGACTGGCTGAAGGTGACAGCCAATCAACAGTGGCCGGTTGTTGTCCCGGGTGGATCCCACCGGGCCGGCGTCTATCAGCGCGGCTTCAAGAGAAATCAACTTCTTCACCGGGCCTTTGTCCTGGAAATTCAAGTTCTTATTAGTCAAGAGATACTAGAAGAGATAATTAAACAATTGATATTCCCCGCAAATATAGATAAGCTTGATCGTGGTGATTTAAGTTGTTTTAGAGATTTAGAGAAAGAAATTATAGAATCAAACCCACTGATCGGCGCTAAATGTATACAATGTACAAAATCCACAGAAAAACATTATCTATAATTCCCTTGGTTGATATATTCTATACTAATATCTATCCCTCCACGACATAATATCATATACGCAGCAAAAAGCACCATCCAGATAGGATCATTCCAAAAATAACAGCAGACCACACAAACTATGCAATCCACCACCACACTCGCTCGAGCCAGTTGCGTGGCTGCGGTACGACCTCCTCTTCTTCAAGCCGGTCGATCTCGTCCTTGCCACTGAAAATGTCAAGTTCTGAGACCTTGACTATCCATGGCGTCTTGTAATAGAACTTGTGCCCGAAGTACAGCACAAAGAAGATCACAAAGACAATGTAGGAAACAAGGAAGTCCGACGCGGTGAATGAGCCTGGGAAGAATATCGTATAGCCGTTGGTAATAGCCAATAGTGATACAAATACCATCACGAAGTAAGCGCCGTATGGCTGGAAAGGAGTAATGAAGGGCCGTGAGCTGAGCAGCCCGTGGAAATCTAAAGCGCTGCGGAAACGCTAAATGACATGTTGTTAGTAAGGTGATCTATGAAAGGAATAGTAAAAGGCAATTTAACGTACCAAGTATGCCACTGCCACGATGACCCAAGCGAGGAAACCTCCAATTGTGGTGATATTGGTAAACCAATAAAACACGGTTGAACCGGAGTTAGACAGGTTCAAGAAGGAGAGTAGACCAATTGCCCAAGTGGCCAGCACAGCATTGTATGGGACACCATTTTTATTGCAGCGAAGGAAAAATGCAGGAGCCTGTCCCTCGCCGGCGAGCGAGTAAAGTGTGCGAGATCCAGCAAAGAGCCAGGAATTACCCGAGGAGCAGGCAGATGTAAGAATGGCAGCATTGATAACGTGATTCAATCCAGAAATACCAGCATTTTGGATGCCGACAACGAATGGACTGGCGCCAGCACCAGAACCACCGCTCGCAACACCCTGCAGGAGGTTCTTGTCGTTGTATGCGACCGTCACACCAATGACCAAGCTACCCAGGACATAGAATGCGAATAGACGGTAGATAAACCGCTTTGATGCCTTGGGAATGTTACGGCGTGGCGACTCAGCCTCACCAGCAGCAGCAGTGATCAGCTCTGGGGAGAAAATGAAGGAGAATCCGCACTTGATCATAGCGGTCCAGAATGCCAGAAAGCGGCCTGTGTTGATGTTCGGAACCAAATAGGGTTCCACGAATGCGCCGGGTGTTTTCCAGTATCGGAAGCCGAGGCGGTCATGGTTAGGACCTCCGCCGAAGAACAGTACGACGCCCAAGATGATTAGACCGAGGATCGCAATGATCTTAAGTGATGCGAACCAGAATTCAGCTTCACCGTACCAAGAGACCGCGATGATGTTTAGAAGGAGGACGACTAGAGTGATTGCGTTAGAGAATATCAAAATACTGGACTGTGGGCACATTGTGTACTCACGAACGAGAATGATTGCGATCCATACACCCACGTTGACTGGTGAATCCCAATACTCAATGATAAGGCCACATGCAGTGACTTCTGATGCTAGCAACATTGAAAATGAATACCTAGATAGTGGCATTTATTAGTTTGACGAACGCGGACCTTGACAGAAGGGATAATTACCAGTAATTGTATCCTGGTGGGCATTTAGATTAGCATTCGGGTTATTGAATCTTTTAACAGTGGTTCGGACATACCAATAGCAAATCCAAGACTGGGTTCCGTAAACCGAGTGATCAAATAAGGCGTAGAAACACCCTGAATGGGGAGATAGGTTGTCATTTCACCAAGCATGTTCATGACAAAGTACACAATACTTGACATGACAATATAACCCATGAGCAAAGGAGCTATCACATATTAACCCCATATCAAGTTGACTTGTCCTGCAGGATTCTTACCAGGACCAACCGTCGACAGGGATGCACCACTGCCAACAAAAAGACCAGTACCGATACAACCACCCAGAGCCAAGAATTGAACATGACGCGAGCTCAGACCACGCTTAGTGCTTGAGTTGTGAGCGCCTGTAATCTCTCCCTGTATGGCTTTTGGGTCATCATACGGGGACTCGGGACGAATCCCGGCCTCGAGACTCTTAGATGAGTCGTCTTTCATGGTGCGCGAAGGCAGCGAGGTAGGAATGTTTGCCAATATAGGACGCAACTCGGGGGAGAGGGGAGGAACGGCGACACAAGGGGCAATTCTGGGCAACGTAGAAACCTATGAAGCAACTTAAAATATCCGAGGAAAGGCATAATGTTTATTATACGACAAAGCTACTCCGTAGGCTTCAAACCGTTATCTTTTCGGGACCCCTTGCCGACGAGATAAAAATGTACGCCTTGATACTGCTGCTCCATTAGGAGATAATATTCTCCAGAAAGATAATAAAAACCTAAGGGGAAATGAATTTCCTCCGCCAATCAGTGATTTAGAGCCCATGGATTTCTCAAACAGTGTGAAATCGTATGCCCAACGTTCCATAGAGACCGCGCCATCGTGGGAGCAGTGATTGAGTTTCTAGAGATGATTGGCGCCCACATTGGCTTTGGTTCTAGCCTGGTCTCGCTGGCTCTTGCCTTATCGTTTTTTGATTTTGTGCATATCTTTGCAGGATTTTCATGTCAGATTGCTCTTATCTTACCCTTGACAAATTGCCTCTCGATAAATATTCCTCAAAGCTTCTAGCGCTGTTCTATTGCTTAGCTTAAACTTTCTTTATAGTAATCACCGGGTGGTCTGCGATTGGTGCGCCAATTTGACTTTAAACATTTGCCTCCCCGTTTGCCACTGGAATCACGTGGTGTGCGGATGGGGGAGAATCCGGGGTAAAAGAGGCGGGCCTGCCCAGGTGTGGCCCTAAATAAAATCAGATATAAATCTTAGAACGTTGAATGCATACCCACTTGGAAACACATTGAAGCACCATACTGGAACATTCGTGGGAAGCACTAAACCGAAAGTAACCGGAAGCGAGTCAGCGAGTCACGCGTGCAGAGAGACCGGCCCGGTCAGATTGTGCTTATCGCTTATCAGTGGCCCCGTCCAATATCAAACCGGCCCGTGATCGTTCGGCAGGGTTAAATCTGCGAACCTACTGTTGGCTGCAGATTGCAAGGGTAAAGAGGCAAATATCAAAGCGTCATTCAATCTCGCTCGGATACAAATGATCTCCCTACCCGATCGTACCTCGATATCCTCGTGGCGCTACAGTTTTATATTCTATATCTTGGTATGGTTTAAAGAACACATGAATAATAGAAATGTCAATCCATCGATTGTAGTACATAAAAACTGACAAGCCCTCCCGGCCCGTCAAGATGGGCCTGCTGACCGTACCGGTGCCTGGCGGTTGCCACCGGCTCTTTACCTCTTACCCAATGAGTTCCACCGACATAATCGCCATATCTAAAAGGTCGCCTTCAACCGTGGCTCCTCTCTTTCTTCGACCTTCACTCTAAGTTCTCCCACCTTTGACTTACTGCAGAGCTACTCCCTCTTCCATACTCTCTTCCATACTCTATTCTTAATCATCTCAAATACTACATCCTAACTGTCAGCCATGAAGGCTGCACCTTCCGTGCGTGTGCCCCTCAAGGCCGCTGCCCACTCTACCAGACTGGTGAGCAACACCAGCAACTCCCGATCTTCAGTCGCCTCAGTCTCAGCCTCCAACGTATGGCAACCACAAACAAAAGCCCGGCCTCCGCTACCCCGCAAGGCACTGACAGCACCACTGGCTAAACTGCCGCTGTCATCTGTCCTACGCTCGTTGCTAGTTCTGTCTGTCTCCTCATCAACTCTACTTCTCAAGCCATGCATCTACACCCTGTCTTTGTTGGCTCACCCTCGCAATGCGTTCTGGGATGTCTCCAAAAACCCATTGCTGAACATGCTTGTCAAGCACACCATCTATAAACAATTCAACGCCGGCGAGAACAAACTCGAAGTCCAAAATTCGATCAACCAAATCAAAGCTCTCGGATGCCGTGGTGTACTCCTGGGATATGCCCGAGAGGTCCTTGTCGACGAGAACTCGGATTCTGCGTACGACGCAAAGGCCGCTCTAGCTGAGATTCAGATTTGGATGGAAGGCACACTCCAGACAGTCGACATGGCACAACCCGGCGACTTTGTTGCTTTGAAATTCACTGGAATGGGCACCGACGCCCTCCGCCTGTTGCAGTCGCAGACTATGCCCACTGAGACCATGGACAACTCTATCCTGAAGGTCTGCGACCTCGCCATCTCCCGTGGCGTCCGCCTGCTGGTCGACGCCGAAGAGCAGGCCGTCCAGCCTGGCATTGAGGCCTGGATCATGAAGTACCAGAAATACTGCAACTCGCAGACTCCCGGCCGTGCCATCTTTTACGGAACTTACCAAGCCTATCTGCGCTCTACCCCTGCCACTCTTGCCAGCCACCTTGAGATTGCCCGTGCTGAGGGATACACACTTGGCGTGAAGCTCGTCCGCGGCGCTTACATGAAGACTGAACCCCGCCACGTCGTCTGGGCTGAGAAGGAGGAGACTGATGAGTGTTATGATCAAGTCGTCGAGTCCCTCCTCACTCGCAA